TGCTGTTTCTTTTTTACTGATCATGATTGGAATAGTTACCATCAAAATAACAACGATAATACAAATAATGATCCATAGGAATCCCATTTTTTCACAACATTTTTTTCTATAATAAACAATAACAGGTGGTGCAAAAGGTTTGCATTAATTTTGTTACTCCTGTATACCAGTGTAGGATTACTGCTGAGAATCAATTTTTTTGAAAGCTATTTAACGATCTTCTGCATAAAATTAATTCACAAAATGTCTCCATTGAACACATCGGTTTTACGCTACGAACTAATTACTGTGACTGTCTAAGAAACATATCCGCAACATGAAAACGTACATGAAGTCTCGACTGATCTTAAGGGATATTTAAGTACAGGACAAGAAATCTGGTTATATGGATTTATAGCGGTGGGTGTTGTGTTCTCATTTTCTATACCATCACCCATACTTACACCCACACTCACACCTAGCTCGATCAGAACTCGGGTGTGAAGATGGGTGCGGGTATGGGTCAGTGTGGGCGAGGTTGTGGGTGAAAGTGTGAGTGAGAGTAAAAAGGATAGTATCCTCACACTCGAGCTCTGACCGAGTCCGAGCCCGAGAGTCTCGGTCAGGGCGCGGGTTCGGTACATCCCTAGGTATAGAAAGAACTTTTCGATTTGTATATTATAAGAAAAATATTTTTCAAATCTCTCGATGTGTGTTAGAAAGCTCGGACAATTCTCTGTTAAACCATATGAAAAGATTTTTCTGGAAACATCAGCGGATCAAACTATAATAATTGCTCGAGATGAAAAACAATTGTAATCGTAAAATTCATCATTTCGACAATTTTTGACTTCTGAAAATAGTTTAATTTATTATATTTAAGCGAATGAAGTTAAATTTTTCTAAAAAGGTGCAATCGATAGATTTTTTAGTTGACTATCTGCTCATATATTTGGATGTAATATTCTGTCTTGTTAGAGAAAAGAATAAGAAAAAAACGTGTTTTTGAAAGTTACAGAGAGGCCTTTGTGTCATTAAAATTGTTATAAGTGTAAAAGAACCTTACCATATACAATCGATACGCTTTTCAAACAAAGTTTGTACAAGAGATCATTAGCTATCTTTCAAAAAAAAATTGATGCTCTACAGTAAGCCTATGCTGAGATACAGGAGTAACAAAATTAATGCAAAACTTTTGCATCACTCGTTACTTTTGATTATGAATTTCAACAATTCAAAACACACATACAACAATGTTGATCGATCAGTTGATGTTTGTTGAGAATTCGACGTAACTGATTCAGATTCAGACTAAAATAGTTTATTAAAACCAAAGTTATTTTATCTAGTTTTAACAAAATCTATTACATCACAAACTCCTATTTGATTTCGACCCATCAGGAATTTTTTCTGCACGTATGAGATTGAATTAATACTTTATTAATATCAATGATCTAAAACAGCTAATAAAAACAAATGATAGTAAAATAAAATATATCCTCAATAAATATGAAGAGAAAATAATACTTGAGAACAAAAGGTTAGTTAAAAAATACGAAGAAATACTTGAGCAAAACTAAACAATGAAAAATACTTTATCTAGAAATGAATTGAAAGAAAATTATTAATATAAAAATATGGTTATAAAACTTTTCGAAGTAGTTTTAAATGATTTTGCCAAAACTGAAAGAAAAAACATTAAAAAAAAGCGTTGAAATTTACTTTCGTCCGTGGAAGCTGAAGAATCAATCTTTTTCCATTATTCACATAGCATTACATTATATTAACACTTACTCAAATCTAGCTGACCAAGAACAAAAAGTTGTTTAGCAATGCTATTATCAAGAAACTGACTACAAAATCGTTAAAGCGACAGAAAACACTTTAGTGTGCTGCTGCAAATTAATAATAATAAAAACAACAAGTTTTTTTCTTCTACAGATAGAGGTGTAAGCCGTCAGCCGATTTTTGCTGAAGCCGGCGACTGGCAACTAACATTTTTGCTAGAGCCGACGCGCGTCCAAGCCGACGGCTTACACCTTTATCCACAGAATAATATCAACGTAAAGTATTTTCAATGAAACATCTGTAACACAAAACAACATTAAAAATAAATTGATAAATAAGAACAATAAATTCGCTTCCTTCCTCAAAGCTGATTTCTGAACAAAATTTTACCAGATGTCAGTTATAATTTGCTGTAAATACAATAAATATTCATGATATTAAAACTTTGGAGGGAGGATATGAGAGAAAAACATTGAAAACTGTTATTTAAAAAAGAAAATGCAACGTTCTCTAACAGAGAAAACAGAATTAATTTGAATAACATATTTTATTATTTTGTATAGAATTGAAAGAAGAAATAGATCGATTAAAAAATCTATTTTGTAGCTGATCCTGATATATTCGATAGTTTTTGGATAGATAGATGTAAGTCTAATTCTAGGCTAAGATTTATCTCCAACTAATACTCATGCAGTTACTGACACTCACTCACACCCACATTTATCTTATACTTACAAATAATTTAATTTAAATATGTAAAACAATATCTTGTCGCGTTATTTGAATTAAATTTCAAATACCATAAAAATCATAGCACATATAAATTACTGGTAAATATAAACCATCGGAACATTTTCTTTCAACTTTTCGAATAGTGTATAGTCCTTTATACTGTTTAGAACCAGGACTCTCGATTGTTTTTGAAAAGTGGAGGGGCTAATTTTTTTTGGCAGACACTGTTTACAAATTTTCGCAGACAGTCATTTTCATTGGAGTTTTCGATATTCAAATCAGCTTAAATTTCTGTGAATATTCGCAAGTGAACACTTACTTCAGTTTTCGACGTTAGATCTTTTTTTTAAAGCGCTCTTTATAACCCCCCCCCCCGATTTTTTCAAAAAAGTTTTAAAATTTTTGAGGTTTTTTTAAAATTTTCTTGCTAAAACTGGTGAAATTTCTCGATTTTAAGGTGAACTTTCGACTAACTTCTATCTGGCTGCGTTTAAATCTGGAAAACTGCCTAAAGTCTTCTGAAAAAATCATAAAAACCTTGAAAATCTGTAGAAATCTTTCGAATCGATTTCCTTGTCATGGTCTATAAAAATCTTTTGAGACTTAACAGAAGCCCCCTTCAGAAATTATAAACGGTGGACAAATCAGAAGCCCATGGAAGCTTCTAATATCGACAAGGGGGGGGGGGGGGGGGGCGTTTAGTTAAATCCTGTGATTGACCGAACACTGATAAGTATTTGATAACAATAGAAAAACAAATGAATATATTTATTATCTTATATCAAAGAACTAAAACTTACGTCAAAAAATATATCTATATAAAATTAATATAGTCGATCAGTTTCTATAGTCGCCTGTTCTACTCCTTTTGTTCAGTGCGTCTATCCGAATAGAGATGAGAAAAATGACTTTGACACCACTAAATACACTACATCATTTGAATGAGTTAATAGGCGTTATATTCACCAAATGCGACAGACACTCTGTAATATGTACTGGAATCAACAAAAATTCTGCTCTGTCTGCCAGATTCCACAGACAGTCTACGTTAGACACTAGAATGAACAGAAATTCTTTATTGTCAGCCATACTCGTCAGAAACTGAAACGCAGCAGAACATTTCTCAGATGTATCTAAGAAAAATTTTGGCAGGCACTATCTAGGAACAATTTTGGCTGACACACCAGAAAAGTGGTGGGGGCTATCCCCACCCACATCGTGGGCCCTGCCTACGACCCACACCCTGATAATATTTCAAGAACTTTCATTTTCTTTCGATAACTGCGTCGCAGACATCTATCGAAAGAGATAATATATAAACAGTCAAAGGATCATCTAGGGTGTGGGTGTGCATAAAGGTAGCATAATTACACATCAATCTCACCCTAACCCTTCGTACTAGATCTATCAACGAGATTAAGTATGTTGATAAGCAATATTTCATAATCTTCAAAAACAAATATTGTTTAGTCTGTTAAGTTCTTTAGTTAATTCAATTAATTTGTGGTTGAGTTTATTTAAATCAGTTTCGTTGTTTTTTAGCCGAATTTGTTTTAATTGTTCAGTTAAATTAGAGGATTTATAATCGATCTGTATAAATAATTTCTTCATAGACATAATAAAATTTTATCGACATTCTTCAGTATCGTTTTTGTTTTAATAACTGAATCGTTTTCCCATTGATCAAGTTGCCTCACTAACGAATGTCCTTATAGATTTTGTTTATGTCGAATAAATTCTTGTAAAAAAAAATTTCGATCATTTTCAATCACATTCATTTATTCAATAAGTTTTTGTTGATATTCTTTGTCATGTGTACAATAGTGTATTGTGTTCCTTGCCATTATTATATGCGAAAAATAACTCGAGATAACGATGAAATCTTAAAGGTGTGGGTGTGATTGAAAATGGTTGAAGAGAACAACAACACCCTCACTTATCCTCAAGATGGTTTTCCTTCATAATCTTCTATCTCATCAATTGATCGTTTCCAAAAACCAGTCGCTTTCTTCATCAATTTAGAATCTAAAATTTTTTCATCTGTTGCTACAACTATCGGATCTATATTCATGAAATATATTGTTTCTTAAAAACTCAATCATATTTTTAATATACCATCATCTTGCGGGTGTGGGTGTGAGCTAAAAGGTGAGACACACCCACCCTTCTTGCTGTTCATGTTTTTCGTATCAACATATATACGCTATGATATAGATATTCATTATATTAGAGATCAATAATAATCAAATGGGTGATTAAGAAACAATACATCTAGGGCGTGGATAAAAGAAAAATACAATACCCAAACTCTCACCCACATCTACATCTACACTGTCAAAATGATTTAGCTGATTATCATTTTGTCATAAAGACTTATTCTAGAATAAAATCAAGATAACAAGATATTCTTCATAATAGTTTTATTAAAGAATTTATAAGTAAATGGTTTCTATTCGAAGGATAAATTATATGTTTCAATCGATAGAAAAATGTCATTTAGCTTATGGCAATGGATACCATTCTGCATTATTCAGGTACATATTATTACCATCCTCACCACCAACAACAAACACCGTTCCATTTGTGAATACAGATGCTGTGTGATGTCGTCGTGCAATATTCATGTTAGTAGTATTTGTCCAAATTCCTGTTGATGGATCATATAATTCAGTATTATTTATATAAACACCATTAGATCCACCAGTAACTAATACTTTTCCGTTGGACAATAATGATGCTGTATGACATGCTCGTGCGAAATTCATGCTACCTGTAGTTGTCCAATTACCCGTTGATGGATCATATAATTCAGCACTTTTTAGGTAACCACCGTCAGATCCACCAGCAACTAACACTTTTCCATTCATTAATGTAGATAGTGTACTATCTTGTCGTGTAGCACTCATGCTACCTGTATGTGTCCAATTACCGGTTGATGGATCATATAATTCAGCACTATTTAGATAACCACCATTATATCCACCCGCAACTAACACTTTTCCATCTGTTAATAAAGATGTTGCATGATTAACACGATTATAATTCATGTTTCCTGTACGTGTCCAGATTCCTGTTGATGGATTATATAATTCAGCGGTGTTAAGAAAACCATAACCATCGTCTCCACCATTAATTAACACTCTTCCATCTATTAATATAGTTGCTGTGTGAGCACCTCGTGGCTGATCCATGCTTTTCGTACGTGTCCAACTATCTGCTGCGGGATTATACAATTCAGCAGAAAGTGTGAAACGACCATTGCTATTTCCTCCAGCAACTAGAACATCGCCATTTGTGACTACAGATGCAGTGTGTTGCTGTCGTTCAAGATTCATGCTAGTAGTAGTTGTCCAGATCCCTGTTGATGGATCATACAACTCAGTACTATGTAGAGAAACACCATTATATCCACCAATAACTAATACTTTTCCATTTGTTAATATAGATGCTGTGTGAAACTTTCGTGCAACATTCATGTTTCCTGTCATTGTCCATTCTAGATAAAGAAGAAAAGTAAGATTAAAAAATATTGTTCATAGAATAGCTCCGGATCTCTTATGCGGATATGTTGTCTATCTAACCATCACAAACTAGATGGTTTCAAACCTTCAGTGAACTTCTTTTCCCTTTCATAGATAAGATGAGATCCACTATGTAGTCTTAAATCAATTTAAGCGAATTTAATTTTTTCGCAGTTTTTTGCATACTTATTTTTTTACTTTTTACCTGATATTAACCCTCTTGAGGGTGTGGATGTGTTCTTTATTGATCAAAAAACGATACTCACACCTACACCCACCCTCGAGATTTATAAAAAATTAATAATACACAATTTCACAATTCTGTCTGATGAAAAGGTGCGTACTGACATGGGTTTTCATTTGAAATCATCTCGAGCTCAATAACTCGTTCTGGGACGGAGTTATATCAATTCTCCTGGAGGCCAAAAATCACTTATGAGGCAGGTACAACTTCGGTGTGGTACGACCTAGCGAGCTGAAATTTTTACCAGAAGTATATCTCACCAAGATTACTCATCCCTGAAAATTTAGCTCAAACGGATCTTGCTAAGAGGAAAATCGTTCCTGAGGGGGGACCTTAAATATCAATAGAAAACTTAATAAAAATATGTTTTCATTTTTCTTTCGAACAAGTGAATCAGAGTTTGTTCTTTGAATTCATGATGCATATCGATAGATGACTAATCAAGAGTCAAGAGAAGATAAAATCCTCACATATATATTGGCACCACTGCGTATTCTGCGATATTTCTTACAAATGTTTCTCGATTAGTTTTCTATCAGAATTTTGCAAATACTATACTCTATTCAAACATCCTACTAGAAAGATCTTAATCATGCTACATAGAACTAAGGGAAAGTAACGATTCGTAACGATTGGTTACGAAAGCCCAGTTCGGAGCAGGGCTTTCGTAATAATGTAAACTGGAAAATCGATAAAAAGCAGGGCTTTCGTAACAACTCATGACATAGCTTTCGTATCGTTTTTGACAAGGCTTTCGTATCACTTTTCAATAAATTTTACAGGGCTTTCATAACAACTTTGACAGGATCTTCGTATCGTTCTTACAGGGCTATCGTAACGTATAAGAATTTAATATGATATCTAGTCTGACGTTACTGATATGATTTCACATGGAACTTAGAGATCTACTAGAATTATAATGTATGGAATTCAAAAGTAGAAAGAGAGAACGAGAACATAAGTATGGACAAATATTTATCTTTTTTAAATCTTTTTTTTTATTAGTACAATAAGTAACAACAATCAGGTAATATATAAAGAGAGAAGAGTGAACAATAACAATATCTAGATAATATAATTATGAATGTACATAATTGATCTCCTAGATTTTAAGTGAACTTAACAAAAAAAGACGTACATTAATCTGTGAAAACATAGAGAGCAAAAAAATACCAAAAGAAAAAGACATCATTCGATTTATATATTCTAAAGTAATGGAGTCCATGTATTTGGATTATTTAAGTATATAAAATTTGTTATGAATGGATCCTACTTAATGATTTAAGCGATATTTGTAAACATGAGTATTCGTAACGAATACCCTGTTATTTTTAGTATCAGTCTCTCATTTTAGTTATGAATGCAATAAAAACTTGCTTACGAAAGCTATGTCAAAATTGTTACGAAAGCTGTGTCACGATTTGTTACGAAAGCCCTGAAAAAAAATGATAGCAGAGCCTTCGCATTATGAAAGCCCCGGAAATTTTTCGTTACGAATCGTTACACCCTCAGAACTAAAAAGATTTTGAAACTTTAGGTACAAGATAATATTACTGTCCTATACCAATATCTGTAATTTGGTCTTTGATCTAGATTTATAAGATCTTAGCCAAGATACACGTGATCTAATATAAGCACTATAGCTCATATATAAATGCCCTGAAACACTTCAGAAATAGTCCATTCGATATTTTCTACAAGCGTCAAAAGCCAAATCAGAGATCAATGGTCGATTTAATAAATCTTCAAAATCCTATCTTTCAAGAACGTTTTCGAACGAAGAAATTCGCTACACTATATCCGCAAATACTAGTAAAATCACGTTAAAAAACATTATTTAGTCAAAATCTTGACAAAGAAATGTTACATTTATATACCTTACGAAGGAACATCCGATTCATCTGTACACAACATCAAATTACAATTATCTTCTGTCTAAATTTGCGAGATCAACTCACACTTCTCTACATTGTATCTTTATTACAAGATGCTTTATTGGGGAAATTACACACTAATAAACTTCTAGAGAACAGTTTTTGAAAAAAAATATTCTAATTTTCTTCTTCATTTCTCAAATATTTACCACCTCTGAATACTGTTCTATAAAATATACGAAAGATTTTTGTAAATCTGTATTGTTATCTCTCAACTTTAAGTAAAAAATGACAATAGAAACTCACTCATACAAAGATAAAATATTATTTTAAAGAAAAATAAGTAACTCTTTTCTGCTTGAAATACTTCTTCAAAAATTCTTCGTTAAGAAATTGAACTATGAATTTCATGAAAAATATCGCTATTTCCCTTTGTTAAATATGATTTAGAATTTCATCTCTATCAAAAATTAAACGATATAATTCTAATCTGTATGAATATTCTTATAAAATATTCAAAAATAAAATCAACACTTAACACACCATGAAAATGTGTTAATAATTTACTAAAAAAGAAAAGGTTACCACTTTATTTTATTTTATTAATATTATACCTTGTGTCGTCGGGTTGGCCATTGTTGTTGTTAATTCATGAGTTGTTGTCATAGTTGATAGTTTTATTATATTTGTTGTTTTTATTGTTACAGTTGATAGTTTTCTTATATTTGTTGTTCTTTTTATAATAATCACGGTTGCAAAAGTTACGATGAAAATAACAATGATAATACCAATAATGATCCGTAAGAATTTCTTTTTTTTAAAACATTTGCTTCTATAATAAACAATAATGTTTTTAATTATGAAGTTCATCAATTCACAAAACACATACAATAATGCTGATCGATCAGTTGGTGTTTCTTGAGAATTCGACGTAACTGATTTAGATTCAGACTAAAATAGTTTATTAAAATCAAACGTTATTTTATCTAAGTTAAACAAAATCTATCACATCACAAACTCCTATTTGATTTCGGCTCATAATGAGTATGTTGTGCACGTATGAGATTGGATCAATACCTTATCAAAACCAATAATCTAGAATATCTAACAAAAACTGATGATATCAAAATAAAACATATCTTCAATAGATATGAGGGGAAAATAATGCTTGAGCAAAGCTAAAGCAATACAAAAAAAAAACACTTTGCTTAGAAATCAATCGAAATAAAAGGGAAAATTGAATTGAATTGAATTGAATTGCGTTAATTATAGAGAGAGAGAAAGAGAGGGTGTGGGTGTGGGTGTCTCTTCTCTTAGTACACACTCACACCCATCCTCATTGCCGAGTGGAATTAATCTATTGCCATTGATCTTGTTAATAATGACAAGATCGATTTGATTATCATTGTTGAAACCACCAACGAGCGTTTTCCCACATATACAAATGTGATTTTCCAAAGACATTATCATGTCCAAGTAAGACATTTATATTGTTTTTAGTCAAGCTAAACAACAGCAAGATCTAGCTGATTATGACCGTCAAAATCAGCAATAGTGTGAGACTTTGTGGGAAAAGTAAAATATTTTTGTCGATTGATGTCTTTTGAAATTGTAATGAGCAAGAAGGTTCTAATGACAAAAAAAAAGAAAGAATGTATAAACACACATTTGTGAACGAGATTTATATAAAGAAAAATGAATCAAAAACATCTGTTTCTCAGTGTTATGAATTATTACATAGGAGTAGTGATGAATCCTTAGAAATCAACGCTCAAGTGTTTATATTTTCAATTGCATTTATTTGAATAGATATGTATCAATGAAAATTAATTCAATAGTTTCTGACTCAATCCAGTTGTTTATGAGACAAAAACGTTAGAGATAAATATATCGAAAATCAAAAATTATCCATTTGATAGCAGAAGTTTTTGTTGAAAGACAAAATGAAAATAAATCACTGCTAACTGTATCTGAAGACAATCTCGTATTTCTCTATCTCGACTTTTATCTATGCACAAATATATATTCTTCAGTATTCAATCTTAGAAAATATGATTCGATAAGTGACAAACTATTTGTTTGATTTTCATTCGAACTTATTCATTGGTATGTTTTCGGGTGTGGATGGGTGTAGTTGAGCGTAAGTGGTTGATTATGGCTGTAGGTATTATATTCATGTCTCACACCCGCACTCTACACCTACACCTAAATCCTCAAGATAAAGGTATGGTCATCATCTAGCTGAATTACTGGTAGGGATTAGACTTTGACGTTGGGTGAAATTATCGGTAGGGTTACCGCCCTTGATGTTAGCTGGTGTTATGGGCAGGGTAATAGGTCTCGTTGCTGCGTGAAATCATGGACGGGGTTCGGGACTTTAATATTGCGTGAAACTATGGCTCGGGTTAGGAACCTTCGTGTTGGGTGGACTTATACGTGGCATTAGAGATATTGGTGTTCCATGAAATCATGGCTGCGATTACGAACCTTGGTGTTGGGTGAAATCACGGGTGGGATTAGGGATCTTGGTGTTGCGTGACATCATGAATAGTATTAAGGATCCTAATGGTGGGTGAAACTATACGTTGGATTAGCGATCTTGGTGTTGGGTGAAATTATGAGTGTGGAGAGGGATCATGATGTTGGGTGAAATCACGGGTGGGATTAGGGATCGTGATGTTAGGTGAAATTATGAGTGTTGCTAGGGATCTTGGTGCTGGGTGAAGTCATGGATAGTATTAAGGATCCTAATCGTGGGTGAAACTATACATGGGATGTGGGATCTTGGTGTTTGGTGAAATCATGGCTGTGTTAGGGACCTTGATGTTTTATTTTGAAGAAATAAACGATTGGTCTGTTATACTGAACTAAAATAAAATTACAGTCATGCTTTCTAATCTCTTTCAGTGATTATAAAATAGAATTATCTCACTGCCGTGTCTGGATAACAAATAATTTACCGCAAGAATTTTGTTTAGTTTTCAAATCCTAGAAGAAAATTCCGCTACCGTTTTTTATGGATAACTTAAAAGGAGGATGTTTACGTTTTTCACATATTTTCATTTAACAAACCTATCAAAAAGTTTGCTACAGTAATAAGGCCGTTGACTTTATGAAGACTACCGAATAATATTTGTTCAGTGAAAACAAAGCTTATTAATACGATCCAAGTCGTGTCCCAATAATAACTTTCTTCATTTGCTTAATCTCACTATATCATGTGTTCAGTGGTCTAAGGTTATCGTTTTTACAGTATATCTATTGTTTCTCTCAGGACTGACTCGGGCAAGGTTCAAGAGACCGACGCCTTACTTGTTCTGAAGAACAGATTATTTTCTTCTGGCCAAACTATACCTGTTGTTGTTGCTGTTTTTATAGTCTCTGACGTTGTTAGTTTTGTTGTTCTTATTTCAATTGTTGATCCTTCTGTTGTTGATGTATTTTCATTGTTTTTTTGTCCAAAAAAATCTACTAATTGAGATGGTAATAATTAAAATAATAGAAAATATCGTCATCTAGATAAATACATTCGTTTTAGTATCTATTACAATTGATAATCTCCATGCAATAGATTTGATTGTGCTGTATTTGAATTAACTGCATCAGACTGAAATGTTTGAAAAAAAAGAGAAGATTATTTACTGTTGTGTTTGTTTCTTTTAATAAATTACAGGGGTAACTGTTACTTTATTGCTATTCATAATTAATATATTATCCAAAGTTGGTCAACTCTTTTCTAATCTAAAATCTGCAAAAAACTCTTATCGCTTCCAGATTTTCAGTGAATAGTAATGTAATTGCGAAAAATCAAAATTGTCTATTCGAACATGCTTCTTTTTATATAAAATCATTTTCATTCATTGTTAATCGTCATATGATCAATTTTGAAATCTATATGTCGAATAATATCTAACATTTCTCGATATCTAATCTAGCCGAGTACAAAAGAAAAGAATAAGGAAATAAAATGTAGATTTATTTTCTCATTATGAATTCTGACTGTATAATTGTGAAAACAGTAGAATATTTATTTACCATATTATTAGGTAAGCCATGTTCTCTCTCAAATAATCATTTTAATGTGAAATATTTGCAAGCAATAAAGAATGATACATTAATAAAATAAAATAGGTAACTCACCTCTTTTTTCAAGAATTATTTTGAAAAAAATATATCGTCATGTGTGAGTTATTATTCCTTATAAATATCAAACTCTGCTACGTAGGATGGAGACACACCCACACTACTTAAAACAACATTTAATGTAATTAGTGCTACTTAGTCAAACACTGAAAATCAGCGTTTTTTTATAGGAAATGTAACATTTCCTTTGGGAATAAAATCAATGTGATAAAATGTTTTAACATATAAGATTCATTTCGGAGGATTAAAAATTTATGCTATCCACTGTTTATATTATTAGAAGTTGCTTCTATTTAACTCGATAATTATTTCATAAGAACGATAAATGATAATAAAAGTGAGATTTATGGTGTCTTGATATTGTTTCTTTGATTGAGAATGAAACAGATTCTCATTCGATTCTTTTTGTTTTGTTGTTGATTAATTCAGTTTAATATCTAAATAGAATACATTATATAAGAAAACAAGAATAGTTAATAATTAATCTTCATGTTTAACTCGTCAACATATCCTCAAGACTAGTTATATCAAACTGAGAAAAAAACAAAAGCAAAACGTTGAATTTATTGATTTTTTGAAATAATAATTCTTTCTCTGTTTTTTTTTACCAAATAGAAAATAGGTAAAATAATAAAAGTATTAACAGATATGATGTTGGGAAACAGAAAACTGCTCAGCCAAACAACAATTCTATTCCCCTACACGATTTATTAATTCTGAAATCTTTTTTCTGAACATTTGCAACAAACACGTCATATAGAAATAAAAATAATGAGTTCTCTTTCTTTATTCAGTTTAGCTCTAGACAGAGTTCTGGCAGATATCACCTTTTTTTGTACTATCAATGAAGAACGTCACATAAACGTTTTTAATCTTCTAGAAAAAAGCAGAAGCAAACCGTTTCAATGAACATCGCGGGTCTCACTTTTTCAAGGAAATACAAAGTTTCCGGTTAAAGAAGCAAAAAAAAAGTTGAAGTAAAATATTTTTGTTATATTACATATATTTTGAAAAACAAAAACGTGGTCGATGTGTGATTTTATTACATGATGTGTTTATTTTTCACTTCAAATTAATCTTTGTCTCATCGACAAGTATATGACAGATTCGTATTAGTTTAGGGAATAAATTTCTGGCGTACAGTTTCTTTCTCACAAGTGAGAACATAGAGGTGCCAGATGTACTTGAATATTTTGCTGTAGCGGTGACTTTCAGCAAATGATTTATTATATCATTTCGAAAAGGCGTATAGATATTTTGGAATGCTTTCTCTAGCCGAATGGTGTGGTATCTCTTAGACCCTTAAATGATATTTTTTATCTGTTGACTTCTGTGGAACTCTCAAAATTCGAAGCGATCCACTTTCAAACTTTGGTTTAGTTTATAATTTTTGTTCGTTGAAAAGAATGTTAGGATGCTCATTTCAATATATTCAACTTTCACCTATAAAATAGTTTGTTTTTAGTGTCAGGATAATATATTTAAATTGCTTTTAAAATGACAAGAAAAACATAATTATTTAATAAATCAAGCATTCAACTCATTTCATTTGTTGCCATGACAAATTTCAAAGCATTATTTCGTTGAACTAAGGCGTGATGGATGTGGGTTGTCTGTACAACTCACATCTACACACTCAAGATATTACAATGAATATATGTAAAACTAAGATATTACGCAAATCATAATGCATATTTTTGAATCACATTACAATATTTTTTTTATTCTTTTTCGTTGAAAGAAAATAAAGTGTTGCTCTGGCAGTCTAATATTATCATAAATTTGTACACCTTCGTCATCACAATGTGTATTTGATTGGAGGAAATTATTTCACTCTTGCCAAGTTTTTTTAAGCAACTTTATTCAGTTATGGGTGAAGCACCATATATGTTTTGCCACTGCATATGTCACATGGAAAGCATGAAATGAAAAGTGGCATGTGTAAAAGCAAAGTAACTATTGTGCACTATACATCATAACTTACCAAGAGATTAAGAATGACTAGTCGAAGTAATCAAGAAATTAAACTCTTATTTGAACGTTTACCACGAACAATTGTACCAACACATTATGATGTAATTATTCGGCCGCATCTTGATACGTTTAAATTTAATGGTGATGTTACTATACATATACAAATTAAAGAACCAACAGATAAAGTTATACTTTATGCTATTGAAATAGAAGTTGATCATGCCAAAATTAAATCAAATCCAAATGATGAACAACAAGGTAAAATTGATTACGATAAAGAAGGTGAACGTATTACAGTCAATTTCGATAAGAAACTTGAAAAAGGTGATTATCAATTACTATTAAAATTCGTTGGTGAAATAAACAATCGTATGCTTGGTTTTTATCGAACTAAATATACAGTACCAGATAGTGATGAAGTTCGTTATGGAGCTAGTACACAATTTGAACCTGCTGATTGTCGTCGAGCATTTCCATGTTGGGATGAACCAAATTTTAAGGCTACATTTGATATCACGTTAATTACACCAAAAAATCTTTGTGCAATTTCAAATATGCCAATTAAATCAGAAAATAAATATACGGATGATAAAGAATGGAAAGTAACAAAATTTGAACGTACACCAATCATGAGTACATATCTTGTGGCTTTTGTTGTTGGTGAATATGATTATCTTGAAACGAATGATTCAAATGGTGTCAGTATGAAAGTTTATACACCAGTTGGAAAGAAAGAACATGGACAATTTGCATTAGATATTGCAGCCAAAATACTTCCATTTTATGCTGATTATTTTAATATTAAATATCCAATTGCTAAGGCTGATCAAATTGCTATTGCAGATTTTGCTACGAGTGCAATGGAAAATTGGGGTTTAATAACATATCGTGAAATGGCACTTTTGTTTGATCCAAAATTTTCATCAATGAATGCACGACAACGTGTAGCTATTGTTGTTGCTCATGAACTTGCACATCAATGGTTTGGAAATTTAGTAACTATGGATTGAATACTTAGCTGTTGATAAATGTTATCCAGAATTCGATATTTGGACACAATTTGTTGCTGATACATTTGCACGATTTCTTGTACCCGATGCCTTGAAATCATCACATCCTATTGAAGTACCCATTGGTCATCCAGCTGAAATTGATGAAATTTTTGATGCTATCTCATATGCAAAAGGTTCATCAGTTATTCGTATGTTACATGATTATATTAGTGATGATGCTTTTCGTCAAGGTCTTCATAATTATTTAACTGAATATAGTTATAAGAATACAGTTACTGACAATCTTTGGTCACATTTAGCAAAAGCATCTGGCAAACCAGTTAATGAAGTTATGTCATCATGGACACTTCAAATGGGTTATCCACTATTAATTGTAACTGAAGAACACAAAGATAAAAAACGTGTTCTTCAGATTACACAACAACGTTTTATTGCCGACGGTAGTGTTGATGAAGAAAAACTTCAGTGGAAAATTCCAATAACAATTTTTACTAAGTCGAATCCTAAAAAAATTACACATCAAGTATTAATGGATAAACCTGAAATAACAATAACATTAGAAAATATTGCTGAAGATGAATGAATTAAATTAAATTTTAATTCTATTGGTCTTTATCAAGTTAAATATGAATCAAAAACATTAGCACGTCTTAATCAACCCATTGCTAATAAAACCATGAGTCCACAAGATCGTCTTATGATACAAAATGATGTTGCTGCTTTATGTAATGCTGGCCATCAATCATTTGTTGATTATCTTAAATTATTACCATCATATAAAGATGAAGATAATTTTACTGTATGGAAATCAATTGCATCAAATATTGGTGATTTATCATCATTACTTGAATATGCAAATACAGAAAAAACTTGGTTGGGATGCTAAACCAAATGAAAATTCACTTTTAGCTATGTTACGTGCAATGATTCTAAGCTTTGTTGGTAAATCTGGTGATCAAGATATTATCAATGAAGCAAAGAAATGTTTTGATCGTCATATTGCTGGAGATTTGATTGATCCAAATATTCGTGAAGCTGTGTATGCTGTTGTTTCACGTTATGGTGATGAAAATACACAAGAAGAACTTCGTAAATTATATACTGTAGCAGATATGACAGAAGAAAAAGTTCGATTACTTTCTGCAATGGGTCAATCACTTAAACCCGAAATTATTGTTAATACGCTAAAATTTACATTTGAAGGTGATAATGTTCGTATGCAAGATTCATTTTATGGTCTTATTGGCTGTACATCAAGTCGTGATGGTCGAGATTTAGTTTGGAAATTTATACAGAAAAACAGGAAAATACTTGCTGAACGCTTTGGTGAAAAGAGTAGTTATCTTGTTCGCTTTGTTGAGATGGGTTTATCTAATTTTGCTGATGAAAAAATTGCAGATGAAATCAAATCATTTTTTGATTCTATGAATACACCAATTATTACACGACCAGTTAAAAAAGTTCTCGAAACAATTCATATGCATTCAGAAGTTCTAAAACGTGATTCAAAAGCAATTGAAGAATTTTTAAAACAACAACAACAATAACAATGATTATTTTCTGTGTAACTTGAATTTATTAATCAAGATTATATAGTAGAAAAATAGATATAATCAAACTTTCAGTTCAATTATTTCTTTTTTTGTTCACATTTATGCGCGCATGATTGGACAAAAATAAAGAATAGCAAAAATATTAATTAAACATTAAAAGAAAAAAAGGTTTTGAGGATGAGTGTGTATGGTTGTTTATCTCTTCTTCAGACCATATCCACACACTCTCAAGATACCACAAAAAGGATAAGTGAAAGAGTGTTATATGCATACGACCATACCACATTGAATACACCAGTTCTCGTCCGATCACTGAAGTTAAGCAACGTCGGGCTTGGTTAGTACTTGGATGGGTGACCGCCTGGGAATACCGAGTGTCGTAAGCTTTTTTATTTTTTCACGCTGGCTTCTGAAACCACCGTCGTATTTAATCATGAGCAGCATCTGAAACAATCCATTTATTTACGAATGTAATCGATACAAGAATCAATCTTTTTATTGAATATTCTAAAAACGGTCTCTCATAGTCAATCTCTAAATGTCGCGATACTATCGTCAATAATGAATATTTGAAGAGTTAAAGAAGGAGTTAGGAAGTAAATATCTGTATTGTTATGCGTCATAGAGATTACAATAATGAATTTGTTATCATTACAAGTCAGCACAATACATTTCAAATATAAGACATCTTCTTGATTTACATAGATTCGACTCTTCGAGTAGTAATGAATAGTCGACATGTGAATCTAGCATTATATTTACAATTTGTTTTCTTTATCAGTAATAATCACTATTTTTCCTCATTTTTATGAAAATGGTACTACAAAAAAAATAAGTGAAAGAGTGTTATATGCATACGACCATACCACATTGAATACACCAGTTCTCGTCCGATCACTGAAGTTAAGCAATGTCGGGCTTGGTTAGTACTTGGATGGGTGACCGCCTGGGAATACTGAGTGTCGTAAGCTTTCTGCTACTTTTTTTCGAATATGTTTCGAGATTGATTAAAATATATTGAAAATAAGCGTGTTTTTTAGCATTGATATCAGAGAGAGGATAATACTGTTTTTTTCCGATCTTCTCAGGGTATTTCATAAAAGCGTATTATCATCGCAGTAGTATATTGGTAGAAAAAGAGAGTTCTCGGCAAATGAATAGAGAAACATATACTGATTCTTGTACTTTAGTTGTATTCAAAACATGTTATATCACTTATAAATCCACACAAGAAGTTTTTAAAGATGAAGTCTATAGAATGACTATAACTAACTGCCTAATTGTATTTTTCGTTACAGATAATCGTTAGAAAGGTAGTAACCTGCGAAACTGTCATGCTTTACTTATTGCACGTATTCGATATTCATCTGACGCCATTTACGAATTATCTTTTCTTACTAATTTTTAAATATCTAGAATGAAATAGATTGAACTGAAATCAGAAAGACTTTTATTCATTGTAAATATAATTAAGAAGTCATGTTGGTAGTTCTTTATTTTAATTGGCGAAATTAGTTGGTAATAATGTATAAATCTATTTTTAGCTACTCTTAACTAGTAAGAATTCTTTTGACTACCCATGTCATCAAAAGTTTAGCGATTAATTGACGATTTTTGTTATAATAATATAAAAGTGCGACCAAGTTAGCGTTTTACTTAATCTATTATGTTCTGACTAAGAGAAAGGAAGCTAGGAATTCTGGATACTTTCTCAAGCTGCAGCAGATTTCATAACAGATGTCACATGCTATAGAATAGAAGTTTAATATTAGTTTTTTACTGATTAATATGGTTTAACCAATAAAAAAACAGACGTCGATCCTTGCTTGTTTGATATACGCGTTCATGTATATCTTAACTGTATTCAATGACTTTCCATTGCATTCATGAACTTGTCTTATTCGTTAGTATTTTGGATTAATCACATCTATTTTATCTTCTCTGTTTAAAAATGTCTTATTCTCATCCCATACACTCGAAGAGAGTGATAGAACCAAAGCAAAAAAGAAATAAAAAAAAATTCAGGTATCAACAAATGGTTTACAGCAGCTCTGATAGCGATAAAAAGACATACCTATGAGGGTATAAGTATATAGATATACTTATGAAGGTATAGGCATAGAGATATACCATTCTTTTTCGTATGATCTTGTATGATCATATACGCTATTACTGAAAGATCTGATAGGCTCATGCAAGAACTAGTGAAAAAAACTCGATACATCGCGATTAAATCGTCGATTTTTCCCCGATTATGACGACATGGGTAGTATATAATTTTCTAACTAAGAATCATTTTTTCATTCTTCTATAATAATTTCTTCACAAAAATAAGGTGTGACGACATATAAAACTGATTGCATCATCTATTTCGTCATTTAAAGCTGACGAAAGATGTAGTGGTATACACATATTTATTTTCGTAGATTTTTTTTCAGTTTCATTCAAAATCAGCCATGACAGCCGCAGTAGCAGCAGCAAAACAAACCAAGTAAATTTGATTAGTAAAAAATAATTATATTCTAAAAATAAAAACTTTCTAGACTTGGTATTGAATTTAAAAAAGAAGAAAATCTTGCTGATTGGTATGGACAAGTTATACGTAAAGGTGAATTAATTGAAAATTATGATGTAGCTGGATGTTATATACTTCGTCCATGGGCATATTTTATTTGGGAACAAATAAAAGCTTTTATCGATGCTGAAATTACTGAAATGGGTGTACAAAATTGTTATTTTCCATTATTTGTTTCTGATGCTGCACTTCATCGAGAACAAACTCATATTGCCGATTTTTCTCCAGAAGTTGCTTGGGTAACTAAATCAGGTGATAGTGATTTAGCTCAACCAATAGCTGTGTACGTCCAACAAGTGAAACTATTATGTATCCAGCATATGCTAAATGGATACAATCTCATCGTGATCTTCCATTAAAATTAAATCAATGGAATAATGTTGTTAGATGGGAATTTAAAAATCCTCAACCATTTCTTCGTACAAGAGAATTTCTTTGGCAAGAAGGTCATACAGCATGGGCTACAAAAGAAGAAGCTTCAGAAGAAGTTTATCAAATTCTTGATTTATACACAAGAGTTTATACAGATTTACTTGCTATACCAGTTATTAAAGGACGTAAAACAGAAAAGGAAAAATTTGCTGGTGCAGATTGGACAACAACAATTGAAGGTTATATTGCTGCTAGTGGAAGAGGAATTCAAGCGGCAACATCACATCATTTAGATCAAAATTTTTCGAAAATGTTTGATATTACATTTGAAAATCCACAAATAAAATGAAAACAATATGTGTATCAGAATTCATGGGGTTTAACAACACGAACTATTGGTGTTATGACAATGATACATGGAGATAATAAAGGCTTAGTTTTACCACCACGTATTGCTAAATATCAAGTTGTTATTGTGCCATGTGGTATAACAGCATCATTATCTAAAGAAGATGAAGATGCATTAATTAATTCAAACATGTAAAGATGTTGAAGGAAACTTGAAAAAGGCTGGAATACGTGTATATGGTGATTATAGAGATAATTATAGACCAGGATGGAAATTTAACCACTGGGAAATGAAGGGTGTTCCAATTCGTGTTGAATTTGGTCCAAATGACAAATCACGTTCACAATTAACAGTTGTACTTCGTCATACAGGAAATAAATCAGCAATTTCAATAGATAATTGTGAAACAAAAGTACGTGAAATACTCCAACAAATGCATAAAGATTTATATACAAAAGCTAAAGCTGAACTTGATAGTCACGTTGTAGTTGTTAAAGATTGGGCTGGTTTCTTGAAAGCTCTTGATAATTCTTGTGTAATGTTAACACCATTCTGTGGTGAATCATCATGTGAACATCGAATCAAACAAGATAGTGCTCGTGATGCTGTTGTTGAAGAAGGTGCACCAGCAATGGGTGCTAAAAGTTTATGTATTCCATTTGATCAACCGGAAACACTTGCTGAAGATCAACAATGTTGTCATCCCGAATGTAAAAGAAAAGCAAAATACTTTACATTATTCGGTCGAAGTTATTAAACAAAGAAAAACGTTTCTTTTTCTTGTTATTGTTTTGATTTAATCATTATCCACTGTCATATATTTATGTTGAATCTTATTCTCGAAGCTTCACGTGTTTGGTTTACAATTTTCAAAATATTTCTAGCTTCATAATTATTCTTTGATTTATTGGACGAAAAATATAGAATCACAAATGGACACAAAAAAAATAAGAGTGAATTGTATCACCGAGCGCATAAGAATTTTCCAATTTAATTATCTGCACCGAGAGAAAAAAAAGACGTAAAAAAATATGAAATTACATAAATGTCTCTAATCCAGCCCATGATCGACCGAGTATATCCACATCAGTTGCTTGATCAATAACGCAATCAACTTGTTCATCAACTGTTAATTTATGAAAACGATTTGATCCATATTGCATCATAATTTGTGCACGTTTATTCATTGTTTGATCACCACCAACTACTTTTTCCATATGACGAAGTGCTTCTTTTAAACTTGAAGGACGAAGAAAATTATTTAATTTGAGATCACAACTACAATAAATAACAAATATATCCGATTTTCTTCTCTTCATATATACCTAGTAATAATTGCTGGATTGATTCCATTAAGTTTTAATCGTGCACTTCGAATTCGATCTTTAGCATATGTATCATCAGAACGTATTGTATTTGATTCTATATAAGAAGATTAGAACATATATCTAATTCATATTTTTATAGTTATTAAACATACCACTTTGTGTAATTTGTTTGCTTGTTTTAAGGGCATGTTCCTATAAATTGATTATAATGAAAAGTAATTAGGAAAATATATATATATTTACCATCCATTCCATAAGTGGTTCTTTAATAAATACATTCATTGTACTAAGTAATAAATCAGAATTTTCACGTAATACATTCATTGTATGTATCATTGTTGCACGAAAAAGACCAGCTGTACCAATAGGTGACATTAATTGAATAAGTTGTCGTGTTAAACGAATAGGTATAAGTTCCGGAACAGGTAAATGCTAGAGAATATACAAAAATATAATTATGACAATTTCTTTTAATTTCATCTTACAATCGTTGCTGCATTAAATGCTGAACCAAAATCAATACCAATAACTTGTCCAGATAATGTATCAATAAGAAAACTAAATAAATAGATAATTATTTAAAAATATACACTTTCATATATATGTACTTTGATTGATGTCGATCACCAATACCAAGAATATAATGACTTGTACATAAGACTGCATAACTTGTTATAAACTGCTGTCGTAATGTATAAAACCCTTCATGTGAATTGGCCATTTTATAATAAGCACGTCGAAGTAAATCACTTGGAATAACAGATTGGATTTTATTAAATTCATCTTGAACTTGATTTTTTGTTAAACTAACAAATAATTCCGCATACATTATTGTATTATTAGTTGATTTAGCTGTTGGTTTCGCCTTTTGATATGTATTCGTAACATAATCTTGATAAAGTTTTCTTGGATGTTGACCTTGTGAAATAATATCATTTTCAGCAGTTGTATAACATTCTTCAATAAGTTCTTTTAATGGACGAGTATTATCAAGCCATTCGATCATACCTAATTTTGATGACATCGGAATGACTAAAACAAAAAACAAATATTTTTTCAGCACGAGAAAAAAACACAACTTTACCTTTATAAGTTTTTATAGAAATATGTGCTGAATTTGATTGATGACAATTAGGATCATTTTCATAAAGATCATTCATAATTGTAAATAAAGCTTGTATACGTTGATCTTGTCGTATATCTTCTCCACCTTTAACTAAAAACCGATAATCATTTTCATCATGTCCACGTATTGTTAAACGTTTTGGTAATCTTAATGATTGAAGTACTAAAATTTTTTCATCAAAACCAACAATTTTAATATGATGTTCAAGTAATGGCTTCTTTCGACTTGTATATTGTCCAGGTATTTCTAATTCAAATATAGATGAACGTCCTAATTGACGATGTTGTTGTTGCTGAAATGTTAATGAAAACCATGTTGAATAATCATTTATATTTGATTTATCTTGTGTAATTGTTTTTAATTTTGTACCAAGATTTGTAAGAATTGATTTAACATCAGTTAATAATACAGTTGAAAATAATTCACCGTGTTTACCAAATAATGTATCAAGATCTTTTTCAATTGTATTTTTAAATTGATATCGTATTGAAGTTAATCGAGATTTTAATAGACGTTTATCTAGTCCTTCATTAAAAACACTATCTTGTGATGTGATGGTTTTTATTGTATGTTCATCATCGTCAGGAATTATATCCGAAAAAAGTATTTCTTTAAATTTTTTTAAATGATTTTTAAGTTTATTTAAATCTCGTGTTTGAATATCGTTTGTTAATAATTGATATAATTCTTTTGACCAATTTTCAAATTGTTGTTGAGGATTTAATTGATTTAATGCTTGAATAAATTCATTTACACGTGGAGTAAAACGATCTAATTGACGACGAATTAATTCAAGATTACGTTTTAATGTTGGATCAGTTATGGAATATTGAAATGTTTCATAACTTAATTTAAATGGATAAACTATTGATTGTGGATATGATTTAACAATATTTTCAATTAATGGATATAGTTTAAGACTAAATATAAAAAAACGTTTTCTTTTTTTACAGATAAGTATTGTATAAATATACATACGCTATTGGTTTATCTAAATGTGCTGTAATTTGATATAAACAATCAAAAAACATCCAACAAGGAATATCTTGTAAACGATTAGCTATTGATTCCATTGTATTTGGATATAATTCAACAATTTGTAATAAACGTGAAAAACGTTTAACACCTTCATTTGAACCATATTTCATTGATGACAAAACTGAATGAATAATAATTTCGGCAATTTTCTCACCATTATCATTAGAAAATAAATTTTCCAATAAATTATCATCATCTTCATTATTTTCATATCGACGTAAATAATCATCACAAAGACTTGCTAATTCATCATAATCACGACTAAGAACATTTTCTTTAGCAATACGAATATTTGTCTAAATAAATGACATAATTCAAAAAGTGGGTATTTTAAGATCTAATTTTAGATCAGTAATCAGGGCTATCGCGAATTCGGAGGGAAGGGTGATCTCTTTCTAATAATCGAAATTATTCTTACTTGAACATTTTGTAAATTTGTTTCTTGTTTGTCAATATTATTTTTTAATATATTAACACCTTTATTAAATAATTCATTAATTAATAAATCCGCTTTTTGTATCGTATTTGTTTGATTATCTAAACCATACAGATACATTTCTAATTGTCTATGTTTAGCTTGAGAAATATTTTCAGCATGTTCATATTCTAAATATGAATTTGGTTGTGTTAGTAATAAATTAATAGTAGTACGACAAAATTGTGAATTTAATTGTATATATGTAGAATTTAATGTTGCAGTATGTTCATCAATAATTTCTAATGAATTTATTTTATTTTCTAATTTTTTTAATTCTTTAGCAACAAATGTTGATAATAAACTTGATAAAGTTGATTGAATTTGATGACGTTTCAAATGAACATCACAATAAATTTCATTCCAATAAATTGATTTAACTAAAGGATTTTGACATAGATCAAGTCGATTACGTGTATCATTTAATTTTGTTAATGCTAATTTAAAATTACGTTGGCGTAATGCACAATATGCCATATCAAGCGATGATTGTGCTTTATAATCAACAAGTATTGGATCAAATTCTGTAGCTTTTAATCGACTTGTAAATGACATTCGTGGTCCACCTATTAATTCATCAAGAATCTAAAATTTAAAAAGAAACAAACAAACATTTAGAAAATATTTAGTCATTAACTTACATCTAAAAATAATGCACGATTAGTTACAACATCATCCCATGTTTGAATTGAACTACGAATAACATCTGGTAATTGCCATTGTGAAATTAAATCCTTATGAATACGTTCAAGAAATAAATCTCGTGTTATTGTATCATTTTTATTATTTGTTAAATAACGATTTTCAAGATTTTTCAATAAAGGTAAATTATGTTCAAGAAAAACAAGAAATTGATCAAGTTCATGATAGGGTTGAATTAATTGTATAGTTGTTTTACGACCATATTCATTTAAACGACTTAATTGTGACCAATGTAGTAAAAATTGTTCTTTGGCATATTGAATATAATATTTGGAACCTAAGAAAAAATGTATAGTTTAACATCTATATATATATAATATCGAATGTCCTTATTTTCTTAATGGCTGAAAGGAGAAAAAATAGTCGTGCGTACAGAGTATGTATGGGCTCATGCTAGTTATTATACATTTTATTAGGCCTGTAGCGAACTCGAACTTTAGTTTGAGTTCGATCTCAGAATTCGGGTTCGGTCTCTAGGCTCGGGTTCGGTCTCTGGACTCGGGTTCGGTCTATAGGCTCGGGTTCGGTCTCTGAGTTCGGGTTCGTTCTCTGGGCTCGGATTCGGTCTCAGGCTTCGAGTTCGGGATGGTCTGGATCGAATTTGAACAATTTATGCATCGACATGATTCTCTTTGATATATGTGGAGACATATTGATAGAAATTATGAAACTTCGATCGAACCCGAACTGTTCGGGTTCGGTTGATATTTCGTAACTTCCTTTATTATGCCTCTACATATGTCAGGAAAATCATTCCAATGCTAAAATTGTTCGAGTTTGGTCCAGACCAACCCGAATATTCGGATTCGCTACATGCCTGCATTTTATACTTACGATCAAAATCTTTTTGGTAAAGAAAAAATGTAGCCAATTCAAATGGATATTGCTTTTCAATATAAGAACGTTTAACAAATGTTGTTTCCGAATTAGATGTTGCTGTTGTTGTTGATGATGTATTTGAAGTTGCTGATAAATTATTAAAAAATCGACAGAGATCTTCTTGTTCTAATTGTTCTTGTTCACTACCTGATATAAGTAATTTAAGTTTCGAACGTATAGCATATGGCATTAAATAATTTAATTGATATGCATTTGACCATAATGTATCAAATGTTGTATTAGCAATAAATATATGTTTTGACATAATTGTCCAATTATTTAATTGATTACAACAATTCAACATAGATTGTGTCCAAAATTCATGTTCTAATTCTAATATTGGATTATATGAAGTTTCTTGAACTATAGGATATTGTTCTAATGCTGTTACATAAGTATTTAAAGCTGATAAAAAGTCCGAATGACTCTCTTCTTCAATAGCTTGTAGTGTTAATGATTTTAAAACAGGAATTTGATAGAATATACCACGAACATCATCATAATTAACTAATGAACGATAACATTTAGCTAATTCAAGCCAATGATCAATTTGTTTATATAATTGATTATCTAAATTCGGATCAGATTTAAATTTTTTCTTTGATGATCCATGTATTAATTCATTTTGTTCATTTGTTTGATTTAAACGAATAAAATATTCTAATGTTGATATGCCCATTGATTCTAAATGACTAGCTATTGCTGCTGCACTTATATATTGTGCTGAAATTTTAATTTGTTTTCCTTTCGATAAAATAATATCAAATATAGCAGCAATTAATGATGGATAAAATATTTCCGATTGTGATAATATAACATTAAAACGATGTTGAATTGTTTCAATTAATTCAATATATTCATCATTTGTTAATTTATCTTCAAGTGAAGTTAATATTGATGTAAATAAATTTGAATAAAGTAAACGAGCTGTATAATTATCATATTGAGCAAGTGCTTGTAAAGGAATAATAATATCACTGTAACGTATTTGAATATCGGGTAATTCACCAATACGATATGTACGATATTTTTCAACTTGATTTTCTTGTTTTAATTTAATTTCATTGAGAAATTGTTTTTCATTTTGTTTCTTTTCATTTTGTTTTTTAGCGAAAAAATATTTATGTAATTCACCCGTATCTTTAAGAAAACGTCGTTTAAGTCGAAATATATCATCTTCATCTTTATTATTCGATTTAATATTTGTTTTTTTATTAACAACATCAACAATTAATGATGTTGTTTTCTTTGTTTGTGTTGATAATGTTGGTAGAGTAAATGTATCTGTTGTATCAAATGTATTTGTTTGTTTAAGCCAATTATAATTTACATTATTATTGTCTAGAATTTGTGTTGGTATAAATTGTTGTCGATTCGATATTTCTTGTGTTTGTAAAATCATTGATGTTGGTAGATTGATATTATTTGTTAATGTTTGCATAAAATGAACAGGATCTTGTGTCATTAAATTTATATTTAATGGATCATTGATTGTTTGTGATTGTAAAGTAAATAATGGTGTCATATATGTATGATGACGTTGACGCCAATTACATGTTAATGGAAATTCTTGAAATATACATTTATCAAGTGGATTTTCAAATATAACATGATTATAATCAGGATTATGTGATGTACGTTCAAGAAGAAAATTTGTTGAATAATTTAAATATTCATGTTCACTTTTTATTGAATATAATTGATCAACTAATGCAATAAGACGATGATGTGATGATATACTTAAACGTTTTGAATCACACCAGAAATTTCGACAATTAACTCGTACATATTCATTTTTACTTGATAAGAATTCTAATAATAACTCACGTACACAATGATAAAATTTTTCAGATATATTTGATGTTGTTGATGTTTTTGTTTCATTTGTTATATATTGTGTTATATAATCATACATCCATTTACATATTTCAAGTGTCCAATATTGACAATCATTAGGCCCATCAACAGATAAAATTTGAGCTATTTCAAATAATTGATCATGTGTTAATTTGGGTAAAAGTTTATGTAAAAGACGTAATGCAACACCACGAATACTGAAATCTCTGAAATAAAACAAATGTAAAAATAGGAGGGAATAAAATTAACAATCGACAGAAAACAGTAAGAGTAAGATGATCTTCTTTAAAGTATCCTTCTCATATTCATAAACATTCACTATTAAAATTGGCTATAGTTTTTTTTATATAATAAGCGTATTATTTTATAAAATCATCGCTGAGAAATCAGTATCGAGATTAGAGATGTGCGCGACGAACCTTTCTAGGTCCCGGTAAAGTTTGATCTTTTAGTCTCGAGATCAGGACTGTGACCAAAACTGGTCCCCCTCATCTCTAATATGGTCCTAGAGACAATTAATCCAAAATTATCCATAGAGTCTCTAAAACAATTCTTCAATACTCGTTTTTCAATTTGTTTAGTCTATGATTAGCACTTTTTGATTCATTTTTCTTCAATAAGGTCATTATATAGCCCCAGATTCAAATGTAGGTCCCGGTCCCTGTAAGTTGAGGTTTTTTTAGTCCCACGCATCTCGATTCGAGATACACTTGAATATCTCAATTAGTAGATCATAATTAAGAATTCGAGAAAGCTGCTACCACGACGCGATGGAAAAAAGCTTAACCATGTCTTATACAAATTCACTGAGAGAAGGACTCCTTTTAATCTCAATAATTGTAAATTTATTCGATAGATATTTAAAAAAAACTCAACCGCTATCGCACTATCATAGATATCTCTGTTTCATACTATCATTTAGACAAAATAGACATATTCTGATGCTAATAAAAATCTTTAATGAATTTACTTGTGAATAAGAATATCAAGTATTCCTGCTGCTTTCAATTCTAAATATGCTGAATCAAATTCTGTAATATTTGGAATCATTGCTTCTAAACATTCGATCTTAAAATCTCCATATAATTTTTTCATACCAAATAATAGTTTATTCATAACACTAAAATAAAATAAAAATAATATTTTTTTCGAAAAAATAAAAGCCTTATTATACGTTTTATCAATAATTTCTGGATAATGTTTTTGTAATGAATAAATACATGTTACATATGTATCTTGTGTTCCTTGACCACTATGCCATTTTAATATAAAACTTAATTGTTCTAATAAACGTTGATTTGATTCATTTTTTAAGTTTTTAACATTTAATAACATTCCAACAACTTCAGCAGCAGCTGCATAAATATTTCGAAAAGAATTTTTCATATTTTTCAATAATGATTCATTAAATTTATCTTCCGGCAAATCATTTATTTGTTTATAAGGTAATATTTCATTAGCTAATAATATTCCAATTAATGATAAACCTATTGCATTTTGTTTTGATTTTATATCTTGATCAGATATTAATTTATAAATAATTAATGTTGGCGTATAAATACGATCTTTCCATGATTCAACTAATTTTTTAATTAAATCTAAATTAGTTTTCATAACAAAAGAATTTTTATGTGTACAATTAAGAAATAAATATTCTAAAAGACGTTGAACTGATGTTGCATCAAGTTCACTTGGAATTGCTATTGAACTCCAGGATAATAATACAACAATTGTATCAATAAGAAACGTATTTAAACCATCCGAAGATTTTTCAAACATTTGATTACACATTTGAATAATGGGTGTTAACCAATAACGTGCATAAGGTTTAAATATCGTATGTGTATGAGTAATAAGACGCATAATAAATAGTTTTATATTAAATCCAATCGTTGGATCATTAAATTTTTTATATAAACAAATCATCCATGGTGGCATATCCGATTGTGCAGTTGAAGATGTGATACCATTTGTTTCCATATGTTTAAGTAAACAAACCATTGGTATCATACATGGATGTAAATTAAGTTCATCCATTTCAATTTCAATTAAATCTGTTCCTATTTCATCATCTGATGTACCTTCAATTAATGCTGGTTTATCATCATCTTTTTTATATAGAGAAATTTCTAGGGAATTTTCTGGAAGAGAATTTGATTGAATTTTATTATTTAAATCATTTTGTTGTTGACTAACAGCAACGGATGTAAAATCAAAAACAGCTAATTCATCAGTTAAACTACTACCAAATAAATATTGAGATGGTAAATAACGTGGTGGGGTAGATAGACGTTGTTGTTGTTGATTATCAGAATTTGAATTTGATAATGTAAGAATTTTTTTACTAAGAATATTTAATAATGTACGTTTATCTTTTTTATAATAATGTTCAAGTTCAAGAGGAAATGTATATTTTCGATCGGGATCGATTAGATTATCCCAAATGTATTCATCCTAAAACAAGAAATTAAATTGATAAAGTTATTAAAATATTTTTTTTTCTATACCTTTGATATATTTGCATCAAAAATAAAAGCTTTATAAAGTTTTGCTTCTGTTTGTGTACAAATTAAAATTGAAATAAGACAATTAAACGAACTTATTGCTAATGAACGTATTAAATTCATTTTCATTTCTTTTTCTATTGCTGTTACATTTGTTAAAATCATTTCCATTGATTTTATTATTTTTCCATCTATAAATTGTGCACGAGCACGTGCTATAATATATTTTGTTAATTCTTTTCCATCCATTGTTGAAGCAGTTTTAATTGTTGTTATAGGCATTTCAACATTTAATATTTTTCTTGCTTCTTCTTGTTTTTTAACTGTTTCATAAAAAGTTTTGGCAATTAAAGAATTTAAACCAAACACATCATCTTTATTCAATATTGTATACATATAATCAATAAAACGATATGTAGCAATTTTATTAATTAAAACTGATGTTATTGATGACGATAATGTTAAATCAAGTTTAATATCAAGTTGATCAATAACAAATAATGATATATATTTATTATAAAATTCAATTAATGTACTTTTTTTAACTGATGTTAAAATTTTTAATATAAATTTTTCTAATGCATTTAAACGATGTTCAAGACGAAATAATGGATTTTTCCCAAATAATATCGAATAAATATAATCAAGTAAATTTAATTGTTTTATTTGATCATTTAATTTAATAACATAACGACTGATTGATAAAAGAATTTCATCTTCAAATATATGATGTGTTTCACAACATAACATCCATATTAATAATTCAAATAATATAAATGATGATGATAATTCAAGTGCAGATAAAATTTTTCTTATTGCACCTTGATAATCATGATATTCTTGTGTACCTTTATGAAATTCTGTACTTTTTAATGGAAAACAATCAGCTGTAAATGTATGTAATGTACGACAGAAATCATCGGACCATTTTTTACGTTTATCTTCGGATAGATCTTCATCTGTATCGAGTGAAGCAAAAAATGGTAATAAATCAAGTAAACGTGTTTTAAATGTTAAATTTAATTGTTTATCTATTAACAAGGATAAATACATTTGTGATATATGTTGAAATTGTTCATGTAATATTAATAAACGACTATCAATAATAAAAGTTTTTGTTAGTAATGTTACAATTAATAATTTATCATCAAGATTTATTGAACGATATAATAAAGAAAATAATGGCCAACATGTATAAATACCATCAACAAATTGTCGACCATATTGTTGACGAATATCTTTTTCTTTACTACATAAATCAAGAACAATTGTAAGAAATGAAACAATTGAACGACATTGATCAATAGTTTTGATTTCACCAATATTATTTATAATAAAATGAGGTGTTGTACCAAGCCAACTTGTTATTTGATGTTTAAATAAATTTAATAAGTATGTACCTATGGTTGACATACCAGAATCAGTATGGATACGATTTGATTGAAAAAAATAGGGTAAAACTTCATTCGGCTAAAATAAAATAAAAATTCAAAAAATAATATTTTATTTGAAAGAATTTATTTACTTGAATTCCTAAATAAATAATATAATCGAATAGAGCTTGTAAGCCACGTTGATTATCGATAGTTAATATAATATTTGCTTTATCACAATCTTCTTCATGAGTTATCATTTTCTGCAAAACAAAAACAATGAATTTTTTAACAGAAATTTTAATTAAATACTGTTAATAATATTGTCCAAAGTTCTTTAGCATATTCTTCACATTGTTTCGGTTTAGCTAATAATCGTACATCATGTAAGAGATGAAGTCCACGAGTAATAGTAAATATAAGTGGCCAACGAACAGGATTCATATTGAGTTCATTAGTTAAGTTGTATACTCTTAAATTAAATAAATTAATATTTATATCTTCTTAACATCTACATAATTAAACTTTTGTAGAGGTTAAACATGATCATGCAATATTCTAGACTGTAACTGAAATTTATGTTCACATCAACGTAGTTATTACCTTAGTTTCTCATCAACTTATCTTTGTAGGCACAAATATGTTCACGCACTACTCTATCAATATCTCAAATATAATTGATGCCTTGCTGAGAGAACAGTTTTTCTAATCTATATTGACGTATACGTGAATGATAATTTCTCATTTGATTACTTATATCAACAAGAATGACTGCTCATTTCAAAAAAGAGATGGGTGGATATTTTCTAAATAACATTCGATAGGAACGAGATGGAGAGCTATAGTTTTCACCGTTGAAAAGACGCACTGAAATTTATCTGGAAAGATTTCTCTATCTTTTCTTTAAGACTGCTATATAAAGCTTTTAGAAAAATAATGTCTCATCGATAAGGTGTGGGTGTGGGTATTACATTTAGGGAACTGCAAAATCACTTTTTTTGATCCCGGTCCCGCTGGTCCCGGTCTTGATAAAAGCTTAAGAATAATTCTCGTGTTGTCTTCATCAATACAAAAAAAACTAATAAGTTCATGAAAACTATCGCTTTTTCCACTGTAAATTCAATCTGTAAGGTTGTTCTTGAACTATAAAATAACACATTTGTCAATTCTTGATGAAAAAAAACAAAAAAAAATAGAAAATGTCTGGTCTCATACTTGGTAAAAATATTGAGGAATTCGCTGACAATTTTAGTCTTGGTCCCGGTCCCGGGACCACTTTGCAGTTCCCTAATTACATTAACCTCACTCTGACACCCACATCCTCAAGATTTATTCTTATTTAAAATAATTTTACCCATCAGATTTCGTCATTTGTAATGCAATACTAGAGAATGGCTGTAATAATTGATTAGGTAGATGAGTTATCATTGATTTTAATAAACTTCGGATCTAAATAATTGAAGCTTATTATTATTTTTGAAATAATATTAAGTAAAAACAGACTCGTTCTGGTAGTTTTCGATTGATTTCTTCATTATTAATGTCAAATCCAAGTTGTGCTGGATTGAATACACAAGTTAAAATCAATTTAGTTAAATCAGTACTATAAAATGAATTATCAATTGCACGTTTTGTATCTTGTGGATATTTTGTCCAAAGTGCTGTTATAAAATTAAGTAAACGAACAATTACTGTACATTTTGCACTAAATGTATAATAAATAAATATATATCAACAAAAAAACAATATAAAAATTTCTTACGTATCAAATTGACGAACATCACTCGGTGTAAATACATACGATTGATTTGATGATGGAAAATATGTAACAATATCATGTAATGTATTCATTGATATTTTTGAGATAAAATAAGATAATGATACAATTAAACGACTTTGTTGATTGTTGTCTAAAAGTAATGAAATAGATCGAACTCTATCAACTATTTTGTATTTTTGAACTTACCTTGAAATAACAATGGATTGAGAAATCCTTGTGAAAATACCCATGTATAACAATCTAACGAAGCAATAACTGTGTCAAGCCATTGATAAACAATCGGGAGTGAAAATTGTTCATTCATATCAGTTAAACATGCTGCATTAGCTAGATTTGCTTTAAAATTCTTTTTCTTATCTTTACTTGTACCTTCAAATCTAAAAAACCAAAATCAAAATTTGATTCACAAGTAAAAATTTTGGTTTGTTTTTTTTACCTATCAATAAAATAAAGATTGCCTTCACTTTGAACTTTTAAGTCAAAATATTCTCGAATTGATCGAATACCTGTTTTTAAATAAAAATAAAATTACATTAGGTGAGAATTAGAATAAATTTTACCAGGTAAAAGTGGAATAAATGTACAAACAAGTTCAATACATTTTCTTCTTGATTCCGTTTCAATTCTTCCACATTGTCGGAGTAACCATCGAATAGTAACATCAAGTGACGCTTCTGCCCATAATCTAGAAAATATTAAAATTCAAATATTGTCTTCGAAGAAATCGAAATATTTACGGTGGTCGATGTCGTTTCGGTGTTTCTTTAATAAATAATTTCGATTTTTCTTTTATTATTCGTTCTACATGAGATAAGGCTACTATTGCTTGTTGTTGAGTGCCTAGAATAATTTTCCATTGAAAAAAAACGATTCAAAATCAATAGAAACCTTACCAAGAGATGGATCATCTCCTTGCGCAATTGCTAAACTTTCAACAAAAACATAAAGTAATTGAATTGTGTAAACATCAACTAATATTTCTGATTCTCTAAAATATTATTTTCTCGAATAATTTATCAGATTAAACAAAATTTTGTCCTTATACCGATAGAGTGTATAAATTGAATTCCATGCTAATGTTGATCCGAGTCTTTTAAAACTATTTGGATGTAATGAAAAACTTAATATACGTTTAAGAACTGATGTCGCATTTTTTAAATAAGCAGGTTTATCATATCCACCAGCATGTTTAACAGTCCATTGAAGAAATTCTTTTAAACATATACCACTAAAATCACGTATTGATGCATTCTGTCCGGATATCATACCATTCTAGAAAATTCATAAACGTTTTTTTTACAAATTATTCAAATAAATCTCAAACCATAAATGTATCAAGCAATGACATTGTTTCTGGATTTTCATAATTATGATTTTTGGTAAACCAATGTATCATTTGAATCATAAATGTAGTAAATAATGTTTTTGTAAACTAAATTTTTAATTATAAAATTTTATTCAAAATTAAAAATAAATCTTAGTACTGTATCTGAATCACATGATAATTGAAGTACTGCAGGAAATAAATGTTCATAGAGTTTTTCATACGAAGCCTATATTTTAAAAGGAAAAAAAATTGAGTTTTGTTTCCGTGTTATTCATAAGTTATGAAAACACATACTGCTGCGCTACTTCGATTATTTGCACTTTTTCCAATCATGTAGAGCATAATTGATTGAAGTAATTCACATGAAGTAATTTTTGTTTGACGATCAGAACTATGTAATGCTAAATCAACTATACGAGGTAGAAAAACATCTAAATAAAGTAAAATATTTATATAGAAAGATTAAGAAAAATATGATAATTTATTACCAAGATGAATAGTAGGTTTAATATCATCAAAAGGTACATTAAATGTAATATGATTATTATTATCCCATGCTATAGCTTCTTTAATGAAATAATTTGAAGTATCATCAATAAGATAATGATTAATATGATTGCTTAATGAACCAAGATATTTTAAGATACGAAATTGTACACGACGAATGTCACTATCTTCAAACAACTATTAAAAAAACAGGAAAATAAACTTTATTTTTAGAAAAAAGTTGCGTTATATCAAATCTAGCTTACGAGGGAATCTTCTGATGTGATACCTCTCGTTTTCATTCATTCATATCTCATTTAGTCGACTATATTGAGATAGTAAAAATCCTGAAGGGGATTTTGCCCAATCTCTGTTATTTTTGAGATATAGAGATATCCCATTCCTGTGGTCTCCCTCAGGGGTATTGAAAAAACTTATTTTTGAATTTGGACTTGAAGCTTTGTATAAATGAAAGTCTCAATGATAGCTCTTTATTGTAAAAATTTCACCACTTTTGAAATCTTTTAGCTGCAAACAAGAATACCAAGGCTATCCCCTTAAGTGACATTATAGGATGTGTAACCATATCTCCAGATAGAAACAAGCAAAAGCGGTGAAATTTTTACAAGAAAGAGCTATCATTGAGACCTTTATTTCTACAAAGTTTCAAGTCCAAATTCGAAAATAAGTTTTTTCAATACCCCTGATGGAGACCACAGGAATGGGATATCTCTATATCTTAAAAATACAATATCTCAACAATAACAGAGATTGGGCAAAATCTCCTTTAGGACTTTTACTAGCTCACTATACTTAACTAAATGGGATATGAATAAATGAAAACGAGAGGTATCACATCAAAAGATTCCCTCGTTAGAATAAAATGACTGCTCAATCATTCAAGATTTTTATTAATTTTTTCTCTATTCAACGATTTTAAGACATAAATATTCTAGAAATGAAAACATACATGTTTGATTTGTTTACTCTTTTTAAGCATTCGTGTTGGTAAAACACGTTTGCTTTTTGCACTAGAACGTGTTTTTTCTTGTAATGTTGATACTACAGCTCGAACATTAACATCATCACCTATAAAAACCGATTTTGTTTTTTAAATATTTAATATTTTAATTTTTTTTACCTTGATCATAAGATAAACGTAGAAAATCATCAAGATAAGGTAATATTTGATTGTAAAAATTCGCTAAATTTAATGATTTTGATTGTGACCATCGTTCAAGACTATTTATTGTTTGTTCAGCTAATGGTAAATAATTTAAACCAATACTTAAAGCAAGCTAAAAAGATATTCAATATTCAAATTCTTTTTTCTTGAAAAAGAAAAGAATTTTACTTGAATAGCTGGTACATAATCAGAAAAATCATAATCAATACATTCTGATGGTAATGACATAATAAATTGTAAACATGATATAAGTAAATCATCACGATATTGTTTTTGACGAGAAAGTACTTCATGTGCAAACCGTCGAACAAGTCCACAAACCGCTATGACTTGTTCATTTTCATTTGTATCTACTTCCATCATTTCAGTATTATCACGAGTAGACTAAAAATAAAATATTGAAAAATAAAATTTTGAAAAGAATTGTTTTAAATTACTTTGAAATAATCAAGTTTTAAACATATATTCATTACAAATGTAGCAAATCGATATATTCCACTAACTAATGGATATCTAGATTAGAACAATAAGTAGATAGATTCATATAAGTATAGACAAACTTTGTTGAGGTAGCAATAATATCGTATAGAAATCGAAATATCCATTTTTGAAATAATTTTGGTGATTGATCAGGTAATAAATCTCTAATAAATAAATCAAATATCCAGGAATAATCATTCAAGAAAAAGAAATACGTACTGGCAAAAATCAATAAGATTGTAAAAGATTTGAAAGTCCATTGGTTTTACAGGTCGCATACCAAAGACTGGATCTGTATTTGTTGTAGTTTCATCATTATTTTCATCCTAAATTTTAATAACAAAAAAAAACGAACGATAAACTAAACGATTTCTTTTCATTACTTCGGTTTTTTCTTTTTCAACATTTAAATCAAGTCGATCGATAATATGTAAAATTGATTCAATTATTTCATCATATAATGAAACAAGCATATTTTGTCGATCAAATATTGGATATGCACTTGTATCAAATTCCTTTAAATAAAAATATTTAAAAAAAAACTAAACAAATTATCTATCTTTTTACTTTGGATGTTGTAACACTTAAAATCGATCTCCATAGTGGAAGATAATTTTCATAAGTAATCGTTTTTCCAATTGATAGAAGAGATTTCGTTTTATTGTCTGATACATCTGGTTCATAATTTTCTAATTGTTGTTCGACAGTTGTTTTTAATGGATGTGAACAACAACGAATAAGTGCTTGAGTGACTAGAATTAAATAATAATTAATAAAAATGCGGAAACTTCGAATTTTATCGGAGAGTTAAATGTACTGCAAAAAACGTGTATATGGAAATATCAGTATTTTTGCAATAACTCGAGAATGGCTCGTCCAATTAGCCTCAACTTCGATCTTGATGAGACTGGATTGTGCACAAAATTTCAGCTCGATCGGACTATTCTTTCAAACGTTATCGAGTATATGGACGGCCACACTGACCGATTCTAGAGTGTACTCACTTTTTGAGTACACAAAAAGATCGAGATTAGAAAAATATATTTACCGATACGTGAAATAAATGGTTTATAAGAATTTGGTTTAGTTTGTAAAGCTAAAACCATTTTAATTACTGATGAACATGTTGTTGCTTGTGGTTTAGGTTGATAACGTGGATAATAATCAATTGTCATCACAGTTAAACGTTCAAGTGGACCGAGAAATTCTTCACCTATCTATTAAAATAAGATGAAAGTTAAAGAAAAACAAAATTTCTTTTTTATTATCATACATTTGTCATTTCAATAATAATCGCTGATAGTGCATCAATCAAATTCGGTAAACCATAAAAACGTTCATCGAAAATATCCATGGCTTGTGATAAAGTTACAGTTGGCATTGCTATTTGTTCACAACGTTGAACAAGACCAACAAACATAAATTTTATATCTTCTTCTGTACCATAAAGTTTACAAGCCTAGAAAAGAATTAGTCTTTAAAAATAATATCTAAGGAAATATTTACATTAGCAAAAACTCCATAGCCACGTATTCCCATAGCAAGATCTCGAATTTCTAATTGAGGTGTATCAATTTGATCACGAAATTGTTTTATAAAATATTGAAAAACTTGTACTGCACGACGACGTTCTTCCGGTGTTTTAATATTCTTTTCTTTTAAAGCATTAGCAACCTTAAATTAATGAAATACAAAATTTGCTGAAAATTAAATTATTTTTTATAAAAAAATATTTTACTCCAAGTAAAAATGTGTCGTAAGCACGTTGAGCTACTTTTTTAACTTCATAATTATCATGAATATTCCATGCACGAATACATCGAAGTATTTCAACATAATCTTCATAAAGATATTCTGTAAATAAAGTTGAATGTTGAGCAAATAATTCAAGACCAACTTAAATACAAAATAAATAAAATGATATTTATTTTAATTAAATAAAAATAAAGATAGTGCATACCTTTAACTAATGCATAACGATTTAAATTAGTTTGTTCTTGTGTTTGTATTGCACGTGCACCATAAATATAAATACGTTTTAAATCTGATTCACATCGAATTCTTTCTTCACTTAAACGTTTATCTACTTCTTTATTTTTACTTTGAACAGTTGATAATGAATGAGCTATTGTCAAAGAAATAAGTATGAATTTAAATTTTTATTCATTTATAAAATTTTACCTGGTGTTGACGAGGGAATAAAATTAACAAGATAATTAACAAGACCTTCTATTGCACCTGCAGCTATTAACATTTCAAATTTGACATCCTTGACTAACTAAATGAGAAAAAAAAAGAATATCATTTTAATTCATTCAAATTATAATGTAGTCTAAAGCTTATACAATAAAAATAGATCCTAAGTGATAATTTCATATAGAAAAGCAAATTAAGTGCGACTATTCATAAAATATTGCAATAGGCATGAGCAGTTTCGATTTACTGATCACTAGAATTACAACAGGAAGTTCCCTGTGATACCGAAAGATCGACTTTTACTGCTGCCTTAGACATATCTATATCAGTAATTGCATCGACACTGCTCATCTCAATAAAAAAATGAGAAGTATCTGAACCTCTCTCATAAATCATAAAACAATAACACCTAATTATTGATTTTATATTCTTACTTGTTCATGTAAATATTTCAAATATTGTCCAATTAAAAGTGGATCTGCATATTTTTTCATATATTCAGGAAAATATTTACATAATAAACCAAGAAATGCTAAGCAAAGTCCTTTAACTAAACATAAATAAAAATCAATTATTCTTTCATTCATCTATTTATATTTAAAAACAACTTGTTGCTGTTGTTTTCGAACTTTGAAGTCCAATTTGATCAAGAAATGTTGTTGCCATTTTATCAACTTCATTTTGCATATCAGTATAACTAGCAGTTAATTCCATTAACTATAAATGACTTCGTATATTCTATAACGATATGAATATTTTTCAATATTTACTTGTGATAAAATTGGAAATATTGATGCTCGTACTTCTGATGCATTATCAACATTAAAAATTGTTAGAAGAACTGATTTCAATTCAATAGAATATGGTAAAATTTTAACCGTAGCATTTTCAATAAAAAATTTAAGAAATTGTAATATTTGCACTTTAGTTTTTTTTAACTGAAATTAAAAATAAAGAAAATTTAATCTCATTCGTATTTTTCTTGTTCTATTCAATAATATATTACTTCACTTTTTGAAGTAGCACGTCGAAGATATGTAAGAATATTTTTTTGTCCACAAAATAAAGCTGATAAACACATAGCTTAAACAAAAACATTCATTTTGTTGTTTTTATTTTTAAATAATTTCATTTCATTTATCACCTGTTTGTATTGGTGATGAATGTTCAGAATAAGCTTGTGCTAAATCTGCAACAATTACTGATGATTGTTCATCAACATCCACAATATCACGTATACGATCAAGATATTCATGTAATTCAGCAATATAATTATCAAAATTAGAAGCCGATGAATTATCAGACATGTGTCTTTTTTTGAATTAAATTCTCTGTGTGTCAAAACCTCAAAAAAACCACCTATTTGACAAAGTGGTATTATTGGTTGGTTGTGCAATTACATAAAAGAACGAATAAAAAAAATGTTATTAACCTCCGCCTTTAAATATTTACTCTGATGCAAATTCATAGAGGATAAAACTAAGCAAAATAATTTTGTTAAATTAGATTAATGTCGGAATAATAAAATATTTATTTGATTATTATGTTAGGAAAATAAGGATAATGCCAACTAAAATTCAATTTCAATGTGTCTATTCAACAAGTTCAGATGAACAATATCCCGCAAGTGAATTAAATCATCATGAACAATTTGTTAATGGTTGGCAAAGTAGTCGATCATGTTCATATCCACAAGAACTTATTTTTCAGTTTGAAAGTCACGTACGATTAAAACGACTTCAATTACTTTCTCATCAATATCTAATAGGTAATTTTGTCGTTCGCTTTTATTGATTGAATAAGACTTTTTTCCATCATTTATTTTAGCTTCGAAAATTGAGTTTCATGTTGGTAATTGTTCATCAGATGAAGAACTAACATATAAAAATGCTCGTTATACAAATTTAGGGTAATATTTTTTTTGAAATTTAATCAATTTTTGAAGATTTGATTTCTTTTGAAAAGGTTTATTGAACTGTCAACGAATGAACTAACAGATTTTAAAGCACGTGAACTTAAATCAATACATGTTGATGTTGATGGATTATTCTTAAAAATAGTATTACATAAAAATCATAATAATCGATATAATGTGCATAATCAAGTACGTGAAAAATATATTGAAAATAAACAAAAAATTTCTGTTTTTTAGGTTAGTCTGATTGCAATTAATTTACTCGGTGATGATATTGACAAAGTATGAACAATTCTATATATGAATCAGAATAAATTAACAAAAAAAGATTTTTTCATATTGCGTACTTTGAAACATTGAGAAATATCATATGAGAAAAAGGAAATTTGGGTCAAAACTTTGAAATAAGGTATCTCACTTTTCTATGACTTCTCTAATGTAGGAAAATTTAATTTTATATTTTTCTGTTACCAAATATACGAGCTAGCACAGTAGAACTGATATTATCCAATAAAATCTTAATTCGTGTCTTGGTTCTATACTCAGTTCATGTACTTCGTTAACTAAAACTTTAGATAGAAAAAATAATTCAAATATATGAATTATGTCAATAAATACACTTTTAAGAAGTGTAATCAAATTCTATTATCTTTATCCAATATGTATATTTTAGTTGCGTGAAATTCATGACAATCAAATTGATTTGATACCAAATAGGTAGATAAAATTAAATTAAAATTTCTTAAATTGATTATTCTATTAGATCTGATCAAATATCAATTGTTGATGACCTAGCATTTGCGATGTTTCAAGATCCAGAAATTGCTGCAATTATTAGAAATTTAGACAAAAAAAAACAAGAATATGTTCAGAGTAAATAGAAAAATCAAACTTTTTTCGTTGATTTCATTTTACAAAATAATTTAGCTGAGAAATTTGATCAAGCCCGAAAATTTAAACAAGCAATACAAGAACTACTTAAAGTATATGAATATTTGAATATAACTCTAAACAATTATGCGATTAAATTTTTATTTAGATTGGTGAACGACTTGCTCGATATGAAATGGAAAAACGACAAGCTATTGAAGTATGTACAGAAAATAAAAGTCAATAATAATAATAATAACATAGCATATATCTAAAAATAGATCTAATGTCATTTTTACATGAAACCTATTAATCGTTCGTGAAGTAATATTTACTCATGTTAAAGAGTAAAGGAAAAAAAACAGCATCATTAATTTTAAGTTAAAATAATATTTTTATTATGAAAAATTTGATATAGATTTTAAAGTCATATGTCCTTATTATGCAGCATTAAATTACTTAATATGAGAAATTCATTGTCATGTTATCATAATAAATTAATATACATGAAATTTTTCAAGGGCAACAAGGCATAATTTCACTTTTATTTCAATGATACTTGAAAATTTGTTTGAAGTAGATGAAGTATTATTTTTTTTCTCTAGCCTTTTCAAATTTCATATAGAATAAATAACACTTCAAAATGAGCTAATAACTTTCATTTTTTTCTATATTTTGTAAGAATAGTTTTGATTGCTCAAGATAAAAAAAAATATCATTAGAAAAACTAATAAATTATCATATTAAACGAAATATAATACAATTTCAAATTCTATTCATTATCAATCATATGAAATTCTATATGCTAATAAAGATATTCTCAGTCTGTTTTGAAACATGATGATTTAAGTTGTTGAAATCCCTTTAGGTCATATTATCAGTGATAAAAGAATGGGTATTCGAAAGCAGCGCCCGCGCGAAGGGTTTAAGATTGAGAGGGGGGATGTAAAAGAGTATTTAGAGAAAAATTTGCTAGAAAAAACACATATTTTTTTCCGAATCAGCTCCCGTCGTTGAAAAAAAAACAAAAATTTCCATTTATTGAAGATGTACACTCCCCCACCGCTCGCGCGGGTGCTGTTCGAAAGACGCGCACGAGCTGTGCGGAAACAAAACGAACCCATTCAATATCACCCACGCTTTGTATCCTTATCCGCAAGCCCGTGCGCATCTTTCAAGATCCTCTTTTCGGTATATAATTTATAATTCTGTTTTAGCGTGAAGATTATGATACAGCACAAAATCGAAAAGAAAAAGTTGAACTTTTTCGTACCGAAACATATAAACAACTTCAAGCACTTAATTTACTTGATATTGTTATGGTAAGTATAATATAAAACAAAGCTTATTTATTTCTGTCGTCTCTTTTTTTATCTTACTATTATATTATACGTAAAAATGAAATATATCTCATAGGAGAGTGGTGAAGGCACCGAATTTTTGAAGCGTTTACAGGACAGTAAAAATAATGAACAACAACAAAATGATGATGATGATAATGACGATGACGATGATGATAATGATGATGATGATGAGGTAGATATATTAACTATGGTGCTTTGATATTTTTTAAATATTTTGCATGATTTATTGTATTTACACACTTACTCTTTATATATTGGGTATTATTTATAATCCATTTCTTTTTGTTAATCAACAAAATTTGTTTGCATTGTTTTTTTTATTATTCACTTATAAAAACAGAAGCGAAAGTTGTATTTGTTAATTAATATTTTATTTTTTTCAATCTAGCCTCCGCGTTCAACAAAACAACAGAATCATGGTAATTATCTATTGTAATAAAGAGTATATTTTCTTATTATCATTATTATTTAGCACGTCCACAAAACTTACCACAACCACGTCGTTCAGCCGAATCAGCCGTTTCTTATGCTGCACAATCGATTGTACTGGAACCATTACCATCATCACCATTACCTCCGATTGTTACTACAATGAAACGAGCAAGTATCGCTGCTAGTATCAGTGGTTATAATTCACCATTACCACCAATTACGAGTTCAGTTAAAAGAGGAAGTGTTATGGTTAGTAGAAATGAACATCCACTATTGGAATATCAAAAACCATCAACACCCTATGAAGATAAAATAATACCAACATTACGGCATCGTATTCGTTCAGATGGTGGACATTTACCTGAATCAGCATTGGGACAATATGATAATGTTGGAAAAAAGAATTTTACTGATATAGATACAATATCTCGAGTAATGAGTACAGTACCAGCTGATGATGCAACAGCAGAATTAAATCAAGCTGAAATGATTGAAGCAAATCAAATGATGATTGTTTTTGATAAACAATTGGTAAATAATTTTTTTATTTTCAAAGTTGTTAGTTTAATTTCATTTGTTAAAGGTTAGCAAACTTTATCATCGAAATCATATAGAACGTGAAGAAGCTTTAGAAGAAATTTATCAAATATTAAATACATTTTCTGGTAATCAAGAAGATGCTCGTGCATATTTACGTGCTGGTAGTTTTGTTTTAGCACGAATGTTTCGTGTCGATGTACTTGCAATTTTTTCTCAATCAGTTAAACTTTTTCATTTATTAATGAATGATTATGTTCAACGTCATTCAATTCAACGACAAGATATTATAACAAGTTTAGAACGTGTTTTACCTGTTCTTTTACAACGTACAGGTGATTCAAATGCTCGTTTAAGATTACGAGCTATAGAAGCGATTATTGAATCAGCAACATATCCAGAATTAAAACCATTACAAGTTATACCACATCATTGCGTTTTTCCATTTAATAAAACATGTGCACCAAGATTAGCTATAAGTCGATGTGAACTTATTGAAGAATTAATGAAAATATTAGATGTTCAAAAAGGTGATAATGGTTTAAATGTTGATAATGTTGGGAAATTTTGTGCACAGGCATTAGAACATAATGGTAAGTCTTATGATCTTAAAGAAATAATTAATCCATAACAGATGTGTATGCATTGGAATTATTTACTCTAAAATTGTATTTATCTTTTTAGCTGGTGAAGTACGAGAATTAGCTATCAAGCTTCTACTCAGTTTATATAAAGTATGAAAAATATTAAATTATTTTTTTTTGTATTGATCTTTGTCGATATAGATCCATGGAGCAATTGTAAAACGTTATCTTCCACCTAACAATGATCAAACACGTCGGATGAAAAAATATCGTGATATGTTCGATGCATTCGATAAAATGGATGCAGGAATGGAAAAAGTATTTTTTATAATATTAAAATAGGATGTATAATATTTAAATTTTTACTTTATATATTTTCAGGAATCAAATAGTAATTCATTAGATGGTGTAAAAAAAGTAAATGATCCAAATGATACATTAAAACGTGATACACAAAAACAAATGCATACTGCTCGTGATCAACTCAAACCTGTATAAGAGATATTTTGTATATTTTCATATAATTTATAAATATTTCGATTTTAGTCAGAAGTAAGAGCTTCAGTGAGTAAATCTCGAACACCTACTCGATTCGATCGGAAAACGCCAACGGCAAGTGTCGCTGATGAATCGGAATTTACTCCGGAAAAGTAAGATTTTATATACGACTAAAACAATACGTACCAATAGTGTTCTATAAATTATGGGGAAAAGCTTTGTTGTTGAGAAATTTTTCTGTTTCATACGAGAAAAGACTAGCCGGCATCTTTCATGTTTTTTGTTACTGAAAGATTTGAATTATTCTTCGAGATGAAATCCACCCAAGAAAATTACATTAGATTAATTCAGCCTAAATTTCTTTCAGAAGTTTTTGCTTTTATCTTGATGTCATAGTCTTTGCAAAAAAATTAATTACAGATGAAGAATAAGAAGGAATAGAACTAATCTTTCATTCTAATATTTTAGTACATGCATATTTTGTGGAGAGAAAAATGAAGATTTTATTCGCAGTGGTCTTGAAACACATTATTGGGCAAGTTGTCCAATGTTACGGCGATGTCAAGAATGCAATCAAGTTTGTTTAATTATTTATTTATTTATTTAAAAATTTTAATATTTAATTAGGTTGTTGAAATTGGAATTTATATTGAACATTTATTACGTGAATGTGCAAAGAAAGGTAAATATCAACAATGTCCACGATGTACAGAAGCAATTGGAAATGATTTTGATAATCATATTAAACTTAAAGAATGTTATGAAGCAAAAGCAAATACAAATCGTTGTCCATTATGTCATATGAATGTTCATGAAGGTGAAAAAGCTTGGCATGATCATTTAATGGGTGTTGATGGTTGTATAAAAAATCCTCGACGTATGAAAGCATTAAATAAAAGTAATATATATATGAATTAAAATATATAAATGTAATTTGTTTTTCTATGTTAGATAAAACTTCACAACAACAACAAAAATCTGTTGTTGTTCCAACATCACAAGTAAATGTTATGAAAAAACAAAGAAAAGTATCAACAACTGTTAAATAGAGTGACAAAAAAATATATTTATTTATTGTGCTTATATTTTATTTAAATGACATCTATTTTTTTTTCTGAATAACATCAATGAAGCTTTTTGAATAAAAAAATTTAATTATTTTTTTTTCTGTCTTAGTATTTTTTTATGTATGCATATTGTATTATTTGAGAATGATTGATTATTGTTATTTATATAAATATATTACACATTAAAATTTAATTAGGATAGATATTATTTTACTTGAGAAGTATATCTATAAATGATTGTAAATTATTATGTTTTCTTTGAATAATAGCGCAGAAATTGTTGCGGTAGATTAAGGAAATATTTGAGAAAGGTTTGGATGGAATAATTGGGCAAGGTTTTGTTTAATTTTGACTACTGATAGGTAATATAAATGAGCGATAAACTATAGGTTTGGATTGGAATTTTCTAAAAATTTCGTATCTGATTTTTACATGATAGTAGTGAGAGAATAGTTTAAGACGATAGCAATCATGTAATTGATATCCTTGCAAGTTTATATGCAAAGCGGAATGTTGAATTAAAACGTAGCGTTTTCACAAGTAAAGTTCCCAGTGTTTTTCGCATGTACTGCTTCCTACATAAAGCATGATTCGATTAAAAATTTATTTTTTCAAAGTTGAACGTCATAAATAGAACTTAAAGTATTTTACTAACTCACAGTAACATGTGCATTGCCTACACGAATATAAATAATTATAATTATAGGATAAAAGGTCCGCATAAGTTTCATTACATTGATTAAAAACCGAAGGTAAATATGAATTCTTCGTATTAATAGATATGAGAGATTTCCTACGCACTTTTATTGAACTCTAACAATATAGAAGTTCGTTTCTATTTTTATCCAAAAACTAATACATTAATAACAATTTCTTTTTATGACAAAATATTATTGGTCGATAAATAGTAACAATTCATTGAGTCATTTATTTAAAAGCATACGATGACTTTAGTTTTTATGCCAGACACTATAATTTACAATTTGGAAAAGCTGTCTACTGAAATTTTTGCCTTTTTCCAAAACATATTTTAACAATAACTCATGAACAGATGATAATAATTGTATGTGATTTTGTCAGGCAGATTAGTCATCTTCATTTAAACTGAATCCCAACACGAAAATCATTTATAATATTGCTATGCAATTAAAAAGAAAAATAGTTCTCATAATTAACGAATAAGAGAATATATGGTTAACTTGTTAAAATATCCATTAAAAATATATAATTTTCATCATCATGAAGATTACACATTATTAAATAACGTTCCGTAAGTTCAAGTAAAGTACATTTAACTTCCTGTTACATAAATGAGTGTTTGTCATGAAACAAATATATTAATTATAAATGAATATAATCTTTATCATAGAAACACTCCCGTAATTTTCATTCATAAAAATCAATGATATTATGATCCCTATATAAAAAAAAGTATGGAATCAAAACTTTATTGTATTAAAACAAACCTGACTATTTTCCTTTGCTTATATATTCTGATAATTCGTTTAATGAATATTTTTATAAAAGGTACCTGTATAATTTTGTAAATTTAAATAAGTCTGTAAAACAAATTCTGTGCTTGCTGACTTAAGAAGAAATAATCTCGATCAGCTGTACATGTTTTTGAAATTCAAGAAATGTCTTGGATACATTCAGCGATTTTTAAATTTTATAATTTATTAGTTGATTTTCGCGAATCAATGAATTCAAATTTATTTCCCAGCAAAAACTGCACTGGCGATTTTCAAATACTTGAAAAATGTTGATCGAATTCATACAGGCATTTCTAGAATATCCTTTAAAAAATTCTATAACTTATTTTCTAGTTTACAGTTTATATAAAAAGATTTATTTATATTTGTATGTTGAAACTCTACTGATAAGTTATTTTTTCCTACTAGAACTTGAATGAAAAGTGATTTTGTTTATATAATAATTTTATTTCACAGAGAATAAACAAATTCGAATCACAGCATAGTTTGTTCTAATTGATTAATAATTGGAAAATTACTTGTTGTTGCCATCTGTTGACCACTACTATTTTCTTCATATACAACAATTGATTCATTTGGATATATTGTTGAATGTTCTTCATAAACTGATGATGTTAAATCTAAAACGAATGAATTTGTTGAATGTTCATCATGTGTTCTTTCTCGTTGATTATATTGTACAATATGTAAACTAAAACGTATCGATGGTTTTTGTAATTTACATGAGAAATGTAATTTTGTACAAAATATATAGTAAAATATTGAATAAATATATGATGAAAATAAATTGAAAAATAAATAAAGAAATAATAATGTTATACGTAATGGTATCGAATAATATACAATACAAAAAATTGAATAAAAGAATATTTTCATTAGAAAAAATTTAAATGGTGCTTGAACAAAACATAACAATATTGTCAATGAACATATATAAATAAGACGAATTATAATAAATGTTGTATGACAATAAACAATTAAATATTGAAAATATCTTAAACGTGTTAATAATATTAATTGTCTATAACGTTCAGCAGATTTCTTTTGTCCTAGTGATAGTGCTTTATCGTATAATTTTTGATGACAATCTATAGTCATATAAGGTATTTGATATCGATAAATAGTTGTTAAAAAATAAATAATTAATAGAAAATAAAATATTGAATGTATTAAAGATAAAAAATTTGCTAAGAAAAAATTTCTTTGTCCATATGTACAACGATGTATACGATAGGAATTTTTTCGTATAATAGTTTTATTTAATTTTTGACGAGTTTTCTTCTGTTGTTTTGGTCGTGTTCGATTTTCTATGCCAGGTTTATTTTCACCAGAATATTTTTTATACGGATCTTTAATAATAATATGAGATCGTGTTCGATTTTCTATGCCAGTTTTTTTTTCGCCAAAATATTGTTCATATGGACCTTTAATAATAATATGAGAAGATGAATAATCTGTTTGAGGAAGAATTATTTTTTGTGATTTGGTTTGTCTATTTGATGTATTTTGATAATGTTGTGCATATTTATCAAGATCAGAATAAAATTGTGAATGATTATTTAATTTAACGCCACTTAAACCATAGACAGTCATTGGATATTCTTGAATATTTATTTCATGATTAAATTGATTATAGGTAATTAAATGAATTTTTTCAACTTTTAAATGTGTTATCCAATTATTAACATAAACAATAAATAATAAACAAACAAATGTTAACGCACGAGAATGTATTGGACTTGAATTTGGTAAATGATTATGTTTTAAAAAATAGCGAACTTTTTGATAACGTATACCATAAATAAATATTAATGTTAAATATTGTCCAGCTTCTGATGATGCTTTTAAATAATAAGGCCAACGACATAATTCACTAAAATATTTTTCGTTAATATTTAATAGATTATATTTTAGTAAAACTATTGATAATATTTGTATAAAATCATAGAATATTAACGAATAGATAAATGGTATAAGCGAAGGAAAAAATATTGTTTTAGATCGATATAATAATATAATAAGACTTAATATTATTAATATAAATGTTGTTATAGTTGTAATAAATAGATATTTAAATGGTATTGTATTAAAAAATAATTCTTCAATATCATCAAAATATAATTTATAAATCGGTAATGTATTTGTATCAGAATGATTTGAACTCATCGAATTTTATTTTCAAATAAATCAAAAGAAAATGAAAGTGTCAACAATAATACTAACTAAGAAAGACCTTGATGCTCAGTCATCATTAAAAGTATTTCCAAGAAGTCCAAATTAACTTGTTAGTAATAATCAATTTGATGACATTTAAACAGGACATGGCATATTTTTTTCTTCAAAGGAAATACTTAGAATAATCTTGAAGATACAAAACAAAATAGTACATTCAAGTTTGAAAAGAGTTCAGCATTTATAATACACGTGAATGACCTCATTCGAAGAATTTAATATGATTTTTCAAAGTCATAACAGTGAGTAAGAACTATGCGTAGGAAGTTCTACTATACTCCTATTACTCTTTTCTTTACCTTTCTTTACTTAGATTCATAATTATGTATTTTTTCTATATTTAAACAACAATCAAAATGTTATCTTTAAATGAAGATTAATAAAAATAAAGGAAACCAACAAAAAAGAAATCTATTTTGGAAAGAAAACTAATATTCTGAACTTTTAAAAAAACGACCTATATGCATGTTGATGTTTGGTATCTTCTCGGCTGTTTCTTTTTCTATGTAGGGTTTCCAATGTCATTTTATGTCAGTAGATAGATCTCTGACAGAAATGAACGACAACATATATCAGCATCAACGTATCGTTTGACAATGTTGTTCAAAAAAAAAAAAAAAAAAGAAGAAAATGACAACGAGCGCGCGTGCTATTACAAAAAATAATGGCAAGCATTCTTGCAACTAGAAAATCTAGTACGCATTTAATCGACACATACTGTCTATAGAATGTAGAGAAAAAAAAGAGAAGGATGACATGATCCTTTTAAAAAAGCAAAAATAAAAAATACTGACAAACTTGATTGATAATTTACATCTAGTGGAAAATAAGAGATATTTATATCTATATAATAAAAAAAGAACATCATTTATAGGAATATTAATAATATATATAAGTTAAATGAAAAGAAACATATTCGGTATAATATATATAGTGATAGACAGACGAACTGATGTATTGACATACAGTTACTATTTTATAACTTTTTCAATTGAAAGAATTCTTTAAATAGAATAAGTGGAACATAAAAACATTAGATAAAGTGCATTTTTAAAAAATGACATCTAAAGTACAACGTTTGTCAATGTTTCCGATATACTATTTTACTTTGACAATGTTAAATAAAATTGTCAACAATTATTTACGACTTAATCAATCGACTTAAACATCAACACATAAATAGCGTAAATGGTAATGATGTATATATAGTCACTCTAGGTTTTGGAACGACCTTAAGAAAATCAACTTTAATTATTATTTACTGATGAAAATACTGATATAAATACTAATTTGATCAAATTATCTATATAGATTAGATTAATGAAACTTTTATCTTCTTTCAATAAATGAATATAAAAAATAAATAGTCAATTCTTAATGAATAGTGTGCATCTAATCATCATTTTCTTTTGTTTGATATTTTTATCTATTATTATTAATATGATAGATATTAAAAATAATTAAAAGCTATTCTTTTTCTTAAGAAAAAAATATTTTCTTTCTCAGAATAAACAAAGGAAAAATTTTCTAAACCTATAAGAAAAATTTGTTTCGGTACATACTTTACTATATAAACTTTATTTTTTTGGACTTTAGTTTCTATTCTAAAAGGAAATGGAAAAGCAGATTCATGCTAATAACAGGCAATGATGAGTGATTAGATAAACGTCAATGTCTTAAAGAATAAGCAAATAGAGAGAATGGCAAGAAAACATGCTATATAAAATCTCAAGAAGTCAGTTCATGTACTATTACTCATAATAATCGGTCTCCCTGCCCTTCCTCCGTTCACAGCAATCTGTTCACGATGATTTAATAAAAATGTAGGATGTATGCTAATCAATAATCGAAAAAGAAAAAAGGTCCATCTACAATCATCATTATCCCTACCGATTAAGTCAACCACGCATCCGTTATATTCCGCATTTGTCCTTCTTATTCATTTGTCGAACAAAGCAAGAATAGCAAATATACTACTGACAGCAACATGATTGTTTTTTTTGTATGATTAAATTTCCTTTTTGTAGCTTTTTTATACTCTGTAATATTCTTTGTTAACATATTACGCATATTGAATATCTACTGAGCAAAAGCGTATGACACGTATGTTTAATCTATTTTAATAGGAGAAGAAGAAAAAAAAGTATTTTGATACCTGGAAATTTTTCATCATACTCATGTGTTAAAGAAGAAAATAAAAGTTCATTCATGCATATTATTTAAGCATGTGTTGTTTGACTAACAATTGGTTAAAATAAAATACGGTTTAATACGAATGTCACAAACAAAAAGTAATCAGTTACAAGTCAATCTAAATAAAAAAAAAACAACTGAATAAGAAATTTCTTAAATCTCTAGAGGTATTCATTTATTGTGCAAAACTAATTCATCATTATTCATCCATGAATTTTTTCTATACAAGAGCTAATTCTTAATATATGTAAGTCAATAAAAGTTTTCAAAATACAACGAATGATATAATTTTTTCAAACATTATGATCACATATGGGATAAATATTGAATAGAATATTTAATACTATATTGACTTTATCATTTTGCAGAAACTCTAAACTCTATGACAGTAAATGAATATACTAGATTAAAATATTTTTTTCTCGTATACCATCTGTTCGACATACGTTCAGTGTACAGCTAATAATATAGTATATATCTGTTTTTTCTCGATTGATTGTTACTCAAGGACACTAGATCAATAACTAAAATGTATACAACTATCTTACAGTTTCGAATACTACAAAAAAAAAACAACTTTACCTAACTAAAAACTTAAGGATGATTGACTTAGCTATTTTATATTAATGTAAATATATATCTGAAAGAAAAGAAAAAAAAGGATGCCTATATCTAAATCCTTTTTTGACACATTTCGAAGGAAATATGTTGAATAAATTGAAGTAGACAGTTAATTTACCTCTCCATTGTCTTCAAAAACACTTATAATAATTACTTCCATTAAACTTTTTGTTTTTCTTACAGTAAAATTTCATAAAAATAAAAATAAACTTGAAAATATATATCTATATCAAGTAATCGCATGCAAAAACATTTAAAATGTCTATGATATTAGACTAATTTTATTCTGAGAAAAAAAAATTATTATATAGAGAAAAAAACCATTAAATTTGAATATATCATATATCATCTGGAAAATCTACCTATTTAACTATAGTTATTTATAGATTGTATTTTTCTTCATGAATACACACTTGACAAAATCTATCTTCTTCAGAGGTAAATTATTAGCTGAACTTTTATTATTGATAAGGTTATTTTCTAACATTCATCTAGCAAAATAAATAAATCTATATTAAATATTACCTTAATAAACTATTTGTCAATACTATTAACAAGAAAAAAAATAATATGTCCTTACGGAACGATACGCACATTTTTGAAACATGGTTAAAAATATTAGTACAATAAATATTGTGTTTATTCAAGGTTAATAAACAGAAATAGAAGAATACATTATGAACTAACTTCCTTGAAAAATACTAAATAGTAAATATTGTAGAATGGCAATTTGTTGATTTTGACAAGGAAGAATTATAAGACTTTTCTTTTAGGTGTAAAAAAAACATTTTTCTTACTATTAAAACGATTTTTAGAAGTAATTGGGGAAAAATACGTATGACGGATCATTATCTGAAATAAAATATTATATTTTTCTATCGTGATAGTTCAGTACTTTGTAACAAAAATAAGAAATAAGTAGAAAAATACTTTTTTAAAGCTTAAATACAAAATATAATAAAATCTCGATTATCTTGCATAAAAAATTTCAATCGTTTCTTACTGAATTATTAATCTGTCACAATCTATAATCGATAGTTTGAAGACATTCTGGTCTATTGAATTCTAAAATTAACTCATTTTTCTATCTTATATGTTAGTATATAAGTTATTAATGCGATGTGGAGCAAAGCATTTATATAGTCCTACGCAAGTTTCCTTCCTTTCTATCTTTCCTACTTTCTCGATGTACGCATTTGAAGTTGTCATTTTGTGTTACGATTATCTCACCAACGAAATATCGGAAAATTCTCGTTCAAACACAAAATGAAAATATCGAAATCGAACTAAGCGTCGCAAAAATATGATTTTGACTTTTTCAAATTTCGAGATAATTAAAATGGAGAACAAAAACAAAAATTAAGCGCCTGTTTTACAGCTGATAATATATAATTAAACAACGATTTATCAGTGTTCTTTCAACATATGTTATTTTATATTATCACAACTGTTGAATAATTTGTGAAAACCTCAAAGTCGTGATTCCGATATCGTGTGCCATCTCGTTATTGTATTCCCAAACTTGCCAATAAGATTTGATTTAATATAACTACTTGAATGACTAGAAATTTTATGAAAAGCTCCAAGAATTAAACTGTTCATATATACATAACAGTCTTTTTTTTGAATAATATCATAATATATTTTCATTTACATCAATTATATTTATCATTAATAAGGAAATTTTAAAAATCATTAGAAAATAATCATAAAAATCAATTTATTTCTCTTTGCATCACATAATCAATTTATTATTATTGAACCAAAACGTTTTTGACATTTCCCACAAACGCCATCTATCAATCGAATAATTTTATTGGTGTTTTTGAATAACCAGATCAATGTGCTTTCATCTCGTCGAGCTTTATGTCACGTGTAAAATCAATCAAGAAAGAAAGATTTTCTTTATTCATTTAAACAAAAAAAAATAAACAAACATTCCTTTCAAAATTAAACGTATATATATATAATTCATGTCTGAATTGTTAACTAAATTATCTCGACGACGTAAAAAACGTGATCGTTCCAAAACTCATAGTGCTGTTATAACTGCATTAATTACAAATTGTACGAAACGTCCTCTAGACGAAATTAATGCGTATAATTCAGATGGAATTAAACGACGAGCTGTATCAGCAACTATTGGAAGTGAAAATCAAGATTGTTCAGTTGTTTTTATTGATAATGAACATGGTAAAATATTTTAACAAAGAAAATTTTTAATATTTAAATTTTATTTTTTTATTTAGAAATTAAACCAGCATTGACAACAACTGATAATATTCGTGTAAAAAAGAAATTTATAGCTAAATTTGAAACAAGTTTACCGAATGAAATTTTATTTGAAATTTTTAAATATCTATCACAATCGGACCTTTTCTATGCATTTTTGAATCTTAATCAACGTTTCGATCATGTACTTCAACCATTTACACATCATATTGATTGTTCAAAATTATCTATTAAACAATTTGAACATATTCGAAATCATCTATCTAATGTCAAATCATTGACAATCAATAATCAGGTAAATTTTGCGCGCATTTTATGTAGATGATTAATGCATTTTGAGCTAAATATCTGTGGTAATGACTTTATATTTCTTCCCGACAGAAATCACGTACATTGCAAATTTCATTTGTCAGTGAAGATGTAGAACTTCAACTGAAATGTATCAGCCTAGATTTGAGATGCTTTAATAATGAAATTCTTATAGATATTTTTGGAAACTCTCATTATTGTTGTTGTTGTTGTTCTATTTATATCAGAAAAGATAAATATTTACTTCCGTGTTTTTAGTTGTCTCAAGAATCTACAAATATTTACTTTATTGGGGCAAAAACTAACGTCAATGAAAAATATAATTTCATCTAAGTAGCTTTCTTATAAACCAAAATTCTGTTATTCTATTTTTGTAAAGCATTCAAAACGAAATAAAATATAAGAAAGCATAATCTAGAAGATAAATGTTTCATTGCGATATACTCTACCTAAAAATAAGAGTAAATATAGACTCTGAAAAAGATTGTACTCCATGATGCCTATTTCAAATTTTTGAATTATTTGATTTTAGTATGCAATCAAACAAGTATTTCGTATTGATTTAAATCTTCATCGTTTTCCATTACTTCAACGTTTATGTTTAATTGATCCAACAATCGATGAATTAAATCTTGTTTTTTCTAAACTTAAACAAATATCAATTCATACGTTAGATATTCGTATTCAACGACCATCATCATCAACAACTGAAGTAACATATCGAAGTTGTTTACAACATCATTTATTTGGTATAACCCAAATAAAAACATTAGAATCAATATCAATTGAAATGCATAATAATGATTATTTACAATTTATAACTAAAACTGATTTACCAACAAATTATGATCATTTAAAAGAATTAAATATACCATTACGATCATTCGATAGTCTTTTACTTCTTTTAGAACATGTACCAAATTTACAAAAATTATGTGTTAAATTATTTGCTGATCAAACACCATTAAATGTACCATTATGTGGTAAACCACCCATTAATTTAATTGATTTTGAATTACATGTAACTGGAAATGAATTAAATTTTGATCGATTTGTTTTATTAATGTCAAGTCGAATACGTGCAGCTAAATTAGAAAGATTTGCTTATTTTAATCGTACAACTACAGATCAAAATTATTTCAAGTATGTATTCATTTTCAATAAAATCAATAAATACTCTCCGTTACGAAGACACGTTTTTGCGAAAGGACTTAGATTAGGGTACGGTGGTTCCAAAAAAATGGGACCGAAAACGGAACCGAGCTTTTGGAATCGACGCCGAACCGGAACCGCGATTTGCGCCCGATTTCAGGTAATTTTTGGAACCGCCGTACTCTAACTCAGGTTATCTCTTGTCAAGTACGGATGTGTTAAACAAAAGTGATCGATAGCTGGCCATTAGGGAGCTTCGGAGTCGAAGTCGGAGTTTGTAAAACATAATTTTCCGGAGTCGGAGTCGGGTTTCAGAGTCGAAAAAGTTGATTCCGCAGGTCACTACTGGCCATACCCAAAATAGATAATTTATACAAATTCCTTTCGTTATATCTTTTTATTCTATTTTAGTGGTTATCGTTGGGAAATATTTCTTGAAAATTCCTTTCCACGTTTAAAACAATTACAATTTTGTTTTGATATGCCTGTTGATGATATTCAAACACGTTTAAATCCAATCTTATCATCATTTTCATTTCTTGATAAACAATTACCAATTGGACATATAATCTGGCGTCCACATTCAAATAAAACACGTTTAAAATTATTTACATTACCATATGCATTTGATACATTAAAACTTTCAACATCAAATGCACGTTTATTTAATAATGTCCTTTATAAAAAGAATTTTAAATCCGTTCAAAAATTAGTTCTTGATGCAACACATGGAACAATAAATGAAATAAGTCAACAATTAATTGATTTATTTAAACATTATTGTTTTAAAACAAATACACTTCAAATACAAAATATTGTTATACCAACAAATGATACATATAATATCCCATTAAATTTATCGAAATTTCATCATTTAAAACATTTAATTATAAATGAATGTGATGGTCGATTATTTCCATTAATATTTACTTTAGCACCATATCTAACAACATTAACTGTTACTGGTTATTTATTATTTAAATATTTTCTTCGTATACCATCACCGACTACATCATATTTACTACGTATACAAACACTTGAATTAAATTGTATGCAAATTGATCGACAAAATCGTTTAAATCGTATATTAAATGATTTATCAACATTATTTCCATATATAAAACATTTAACAATTGATGTTAATCCAAAATTATATGTAGATTTAAAAATAATCAAAACAATGTTAGATGTTTTTAAAGAATTAATTAGTTTAAAAATTCAACGAACAAATAAATATATATTAGATAAAACAATTCAAGATGATCGACAAGTACGAAATTATTTTGAAATCAATTCACTTCGTTTACATCATAGTGAAACATATGAAATTATTTGTAAAGATAGTCAATTTGAAATTTGGTTATAGTTTTGAAGATCTGTCTTTTTTTCTTTTTTTTTTGATTTCTGCGTTTGTTTTGTTCACCCCTTTTTCTCTCTTTTTATTCTTATCGTTCAGATTCTTTTCTTATTTTTAACCATGTAACTATATTTGAAAAAAACCTTGTACATATATCTTGTAAACGTTAAAAGTGAACCAGAGATAAAATAACATTACACATTTTTACAAAAAAAAAGAAGCCAAACCGACAATAAAAAGAAAGCATTTAGGCAATATCCATTGCTAAACGAGATGCCGTAGAAAGTTTATCAATAATATCAGTAATTGTTGGGCGTTGGTCGGGTTCTGTATGAAGCATTGCTAGCATTGTATCGATTATGATGGATGGATAGGTTGATGATTGAACTGGCAATTCAATACGACCACTTGCAATTGCCAACGCCACACTAAAATATTCAGATAAAAGGAATAGCCGAATCTTATAGCATGAGTAGATAATATAAAAAGCCTGTAAACTTCGAAGGGATGTTCACTGTAGGGCCATCAGTAACAATCTCTTTCATTATTGTTCTATAAATTCATATCTCATATCGTTAGAGATGCGCAGTTTCAATGCAATTACTGAAAAACTGTCACTGGCAGCGCCGACACCGGGTTCACTAATGCTGCCAGTTCACCCACACTCGTCGATGTCGATGAATCTACAGCATCAGTGAACCCCGTTGTCAGTGGTACGGTGCGTCGCTGTCGGTGCACGGTTTACTCAAACTGTGCATCCCTACCTATCGTGAGATTTAATTTATCGGTAACATAAAATACAGAGGTTCTGTGTTAGAGGTCCTCTCTAATCATTTATGAATGTATAACGTCATAAGAACCACTCATTAAGATCAATATTTTCATAAACTATAGTTAGATTATTTAATTAATAAATACCTATCTCCTCTTGAATATACATCATCAAATGGTCCTTTTCCAAAACAACATGCATAAAGAATTCCACCAAGAGAGAATATATCAGTTTGACAAGTAATTAAAGAATTTGTTTCAATGTGGAATAATTCTGGTGCACGATCTATAGAATTAAATCAATGACAAATTTAATCATTCGAAAAAAAAATTGCTTACATTGTACACAACAATTTTCTTCTGCCCAATCCTAAGAAAAGAAAACTAGAATAATTATTCAGGATTTCTATAATATTACCTGCCATTGTTGAGCTTCTGATCTAGTTGTTATTGAAATTGAAGAAGGTTTCATTGAGCCAAAATCTAGTATAACACCATGTGAATTATTTAATAGCATGATATTACTTGGTTTTAAATCTCTATAAATATATACAGGAATGAATCATAATTAGTAATAGACAAGTAGATATAAATACCTATGAGCCATTTGTTTTTCATGAATTTGACGAACTCCTTCACATATACTCAAAAATAGATCGAGTAATACACGTGTAGAAAATTTTATTTGTTTATCAAAAACATTTTGAAGAGATCCATTCTACAGAAAAAAAAGTTTCAATAAAGAATTGACACAATAAAATAATATTTTACTTTGAAATAAGGAAAAACAAGCCAGACAATACTTGTAACATGTGCATTTGGATTATATTGTGCTTGTTCATGATAGAGTAATGAAACTAAAGAAAGAATGTAGTGCTGAATTAGGAATAAATTATTAATCAAACCTAAATTTGGATGTGAAAATCTTTGATAATTTTCTATTTCATCTCTCGCACGTCTTTCTTCTTCATCTGTATGACATGACATTTTCTTAATCGCATATTGATGACTATCAGCTGTATTTCGAGCTTCAAACACATAACTGAAACTTCTAAAAAAACAACATTCAATTCAACAATCAAATCATACATATATATTCTTTTTCGAAATAATAAAAACTCAAGTTATTGTCAATTAATTATATAATTCGCAAAGATAAAATAATCTACCCTTCGCCAATTTGTTGCATAAGATGAAATTTTTGTCCTTGTATAATTACACTTTGTCGTCCACAAACACAACCCATCTATAGAGAAACTCAAAGAAAAAAAGATATCTATATTCTATTGCACAAAACATGACATGAAATGTTTTTTTTATTGTTTGTTTCTTGGATGGCATAATCAAATAACACAGATTTAAGAAAAAAACAAATACTGAATCTCTTAATAGCAACAAAACAAATCAATACACATATAGATACACAATGAGAGAAGAAGAAGAAGAAGAAAAAGAAAACAAATAAACTTGGAAATGCTGTGTTAAAAGAACAGAAAAACAAAATTTACACAACAAAGATTCATTCTCCTTCATGTTTGCAACTTAAAATACACATACATACATATATATATATATAGAAAAGTAACATGAAGATTCTCTTGATTTTTGTTTTTTGACTAGTAAAACATGTACTATATATATATACATTGAACAGAAATCATATGTTAAAGAAAGGTAGAAATTGATGTATGTATGTAAAAACGATTAGAAAGATGTAGAGAATAAGATTGATTGTCAAAGAAAATCAATTAATTGATTCTTCAAGATCATCATCATCATCATCACCACCACCACCATCATCATCATCATTATCATCATCATCATCGCCATCATTCGATATATTCTCATCATCGATTTCATTCAAATTATTATTTGTACTACTGTTTGATTCAGGTAAAAATCCAACAAGACCTTTCGACGATTTATCATCATCTTCATCATCATTTTCACCTAAATATAAAAAAATTTTCATTTACATTCTATAAACTTAAAAATACAAGAGAAAAAACGGGTCAGATGTTTTATCTTTATAAGACCAACTATAATACTTCGGATTATATCATGAATATAAAAAGTCTATTAGAATCTTAAAATTAATTTTATTCAAAATATTTTATGTAAGATTCAAGAATCTCCGCAACCTGGAATATATTAATCCTCTTTGAGAACATGCGACATAGTTTGTATCATCTATTCTATTCACACTAAACTGTAAAACATGCAAGATAATATATATCATGAATTGCTCGGTGCCTCGTGGCCTTATAAATTCTAACAGTTTCGAGCAAACTTATCTCCAAGAAATTACTAATAGCACAACCTATTCTCGAAGGATTAAGCCAAGTGTTATATACAATTTTTCGAAATCTTGTAATTTACCATACTCTACTCGTTTATTCGATGTTATCTTACATGTGGTATATACATATACTATTGAAAGTAACACGTGACTAGGATAAAAGACGTGCTATAAGTTTTAGTAATTTGAGATTTTGTGCATAATCTTAAAAGTATTATAACAGACTCAAATAACAACCGAACAAGTATCCTTAGACTTCAATTTAGTAGAAACCGAAATTTTAAGTATTAGAATGTTTTTACAAACGTAATTAACTATTCCGTTATAACCTTTATCATAATTCATATGCTGAAAAACAAAAGAAACTAACCATGAGATATACTATTATTATCTTTGTTATTAATAGATGACATTGAAGATGTAGATTCATTTTTATTTTTTGTTGTTGATGATGACGCTTTAATATTTCTTTCTTTTACTTTATATTCCAACTAGAATAGAAACAAAACATAAAATAATATTTAATTTAATTCAATATATAACTAACTGTTGAATGTGGTACACCGAAATAAGAACCAGCTTTATGTACTGACATTTCATTACTTAAAACAGCTGCTACAGCTTTAGCTAATTGTTCGGATTCATAACGACGATATTGACCTCGTTTTGGACGAATTTGTTTACCATCTGTACCGATAACAACCTTAGCATTATTAAGTATTTCTGCTGATCGTCCTTTAGGTATATAATTTGTTGATTGATTTAATTTCGATTTATGTTTATTTTTTTTATGAATAGATGATGAACTCGTTAATGATGCACTTGATGTTGATGAAGAACTTGAAGATGAAGGATTTACTTTATTATTGTGCTAGAAAAGTAAAAAAAAACATATTTTATTCTAATTCTTCTTTTTTTTTGTTGAAATTTTTTAATATAAAAACATGATAGAGTTATTTTATATTCAGTTAAGAAGATTTAAATGGTATTATTTACGGAATTAATATAAAACAATATACGGATTTTTTTCTCTTGTTCTTAAGAATAGAAAAGCGGATTAGTTATCAAGACTATGTACACTTGACTGGAGTTTTTCTTTATTTTAAATTCTCATCCGAATAGTAACTGAAAAAAGAAAACGAAATGACTTGAAAATTTTTATATATTGGAATCTAATAATCATACTGTAAATATAAGATTCTTCGTTCTTTTTCTTTTTTTTTGCTTATCAATTATTAACATGCTTCACATATTTCTCACGCAATCGTAACGATTATGTTATAATAATGAAGTAGAATTTTGTTTTTTGGTATATTGAAAATAATCGTTATAGAGTTTTTCTATTTATGATTCAAAGATAATACTTTTATGTTTACCTTATTTTGTTTTTTATTATTATTGGTATTGTTATTATTATTAATAAAATGATTAAAAAGATTGGCATTGTATTGTTCATCATTATTGACATTTTGTTTTTTAACAAATAATAATTCACCTTTACGTGATGCTCTTGGCGGAGGAATAGATGCTGCTATTTGTTGTTGTTGTTGTTTTTCATACATTTCATGTAATATACGCATCATAACATCATTAAGTATATGATTAACATGAATTGATTCAGTAAGAATAGATGATGAAGAATTTGTCGATGTTTTAGATTTTTTAGTAATTGATGGATGACGTTGATAATCAATTTCTTGTAACATTCGTTCATATGCCATTTGTTTAGCTAATTGAGCAATACGTGTATCTTGTGAAGAAGAAGAAGAAGAATTTTTCTTTTTATATGATTGAGTATGATGAACAGGAATAGTTGGAGATGTTGGAAAGAGATTCATATTTAAATATGGATGAGATGAAAAATCTAAATATATTATAAAGAAATAAAATATTAGATTTTAAAGTTATCAATTTTTTTTACCTAACTGACTAGCAATCATGTCAGACATAAAACGATCAAATTCTTCTTGACCATACATTGGTGGTATATCTGACTTGATATCAAACAATGGTCGATGTCTAAAAGAAATATGAATAAGAATTACATTACTATTTTTGCATGTTGGAAAAAACCGACTGTCCTAGTTACTTCTTACGACAATATTTAATACTATCTCATCAGTTCGTAACTGCAGAATTTTAAAGGCGATCAATAACTACTCTACCAATATGATTACATATAGATCAAAGATTCGTGTTTCAACTATATGAAACAGTTCTATTCTTTCTTAATATTGGTAAAAATCTTAGTTGATCATCTTATTCGTATAAATAATATATAATTTCAACTAACTTGACATTGGTTCGATTATTCGATGTAATTAATGGTGAATTATTAGTTGTTGATTTTAAACTTAGATCTAATGGTGCATTTTCATCATCATTAACGATTGCTTCTTTTATAGAATGATGATGTTCATTGATTCGATTATTTATTTTTTTACTTCCTAAATATTCTTGTCGATTTATACAAAATAAACATCCTTGTTCAGGATTGAAATCATTCGGTATTTGTTCATCTAAGGAAGAAAAAAAGAATAAATATGATATAGATAAAAATAAACTAACCATCTGTTTGATTAAATAAATTAACATCAAATTCAAAATGATTTTTTGATATTGTTTCTAAACCTATAAAAAAGAAAATCAACTGAATAAATTCAATTATTGTTTTTTGTTTATTTTACCAATTTGCAATAGTAAAGTTTTTGTCCATTTATTATATTCTCGTCGAGCTAATTTGCGATCTTGTTGACAACGAGCTGAATAACATTCCGTCATCTAGAATATTTAAAATTAAAAGAAGCCGCGCTTTTATTAAGTCAGAACATGATCTATTTCATCATAAACTATACTAATTAGGTACTCAGTCATGCAGTCAACAAAAAAAAAGAGAAAGACAAAATGACGACAAAAGTCAGAAACAGGAAGAATTTTACAGAGTTTATCCATGAGATATATAAAACATGACTTGTCTGCCAATCATTAATCGACTACCATTAATATTGTAAATGAACACCTTGAATATTTTAATTCTTTTATATAGCAAACAGATGGCGCAAGATGATTGTATTAAAATAGTAGAAAA